GCCAGTGGAGTTCTCTTAGCAAAGGAGTAACATGACAATACTTAGGTGCGCAGTAAACCAATCGAGCACTGGCATTCATGACTCTTTGAAGTTTCTTAATTTGATAATCAGGAGCACCGTACAATAAACCATTACAGTAGTCAAGCCTGCTTGTGATGAACGCGTGAACAAGCCTCTCGGTGGACTCGCGAGACAAATACTTCCTAATGTGCCGGATATTGTACAAATAATAAAACGCGCTAGCACAAGTCTTAGACACATGAGTCGACATGTCCAGACGAGAATCGAACCAGGTGCCCAAATTGCGCACTGAAGAGGCAGGCGATACCTCAGCTTGGCCGATCTTGATCTTGTCAACGGACACCTTTGATAACTGTCGTTCCGTGCCAATGATCAAGAACTCAGTTTTATCGTCATTTAGCATTAACTTATCATCTCTCATCCATGCGCGAACGTCACGAATACAGTTCTCAATCGCAATCACAGCATCAGCCTCGCTGGTACTATAAAGTTTTCAACGGCCGTGTCATCTTTTTTTGGAGTATATTTATAATTGGGGCTATTTGCCATGGACCATGACGCCTCTTCATTAGACAAATCACGGCTCTTATGATTGTAAGTGTTTGCAAAAGAAAAAATTGGTCAAGAATAGTCATTGAAAAGGTCGCTTAAAAAGTGAATTAGAATTCTTTTCTTGGTCTTTATTGCGATTATTCCAACTCTCTTACTCAAATGTATGCGAACCGTCTCCTGAAGCTGAAGTCGTGCAGTGACCCCCAACGGCAAAGAATTGTACAAAAAACAAGTGTGATGCATGTGCTAACTTTTCAACCTTTGCCTGTGTTTTATCAACTCCCGGCTATTCACATCACTTGGCAAAATATTATCCTCTTTCCTATCAATTTATTTGGTGTATTTGGCTGTATTTTTCACTTGGGTGTCGTGCTGACACCGAATTTGAAGACCATGATTTCTGAGATATAAGCCCTCAGAAGTTGTCAAGAATGACAAAAAAGAAAATATCTGCGCATATCGAGTAATTCTGTTTCAAACACTATCGTAGTTAGCATGTAAAATACAACTAAAGAGTTATGTACTTCACTTTTGACTACGGCCCACCATGATCTCCTCAGCTATAGCGGATTAGGTTTAATTAGCAAATACCCCCTCTGCTCTAGACTCAAGTGCTAGGGCCTGTCTCTTTATTCAGATATATTGTCATAGCCGTAGTCAGATAGATTCATCTTCCCCGCTCTCTCCACCCCTCAGGTGCAACGACCCGTAACTTTACTCAGACCCAGAGGACATGATAACCGTGGCGCATCTCTACTGTGTTAGCCTCGCTTTCAGGCTAGCAATTGGCGGAGATTCAATGGCTATCGCCTCAGGTTTGGTTTTACTTTTCTCCCAGCGGGATCTTTGTTGGAGCATGTAATATAGACCGACAAGGTCCCCTCTTGGCAAATTGTCTGAAACTCCTCCCTTAGAAGTCGAAAGGTCGAGTAAGTAATTTAGAGATAAGTATAAAATAGAATTCTCGAAACAGAGAGGATCTTATGTTAACTGAATGCGTGACAAACGAACCCCAAAGGACGTCTGCGGAGAGGCTAATGTTAACCACATTGATCTTAAAAGCGAATCTCATGTACCTCGACAGAAACGCCCACTACAAAATTGTATTCACGATTCCTCCCGTAACTTCTTAGATTCAATTTAGGGCTCACAGAGGAGTAGTTTATATTCCAAATGAAGCAAGGCGTTAGAACATCCTACCGATTTACACTTTGCTACTGCCACTGATATATGCTGACTAGAAAATTCTTTAATTCGACGCATCCAATCTTGTTACATTGCCCTTTGATAAACTTTTAGAATTATATCTTAGGACAAAAAAATGTTCACAAGGGTTTTCCAAAGACTTCTTTTTACTTGCTTGCTTTGCAAAACTGGCTGCATCCTCGGAGACCCAGGGACAGATAAAGGGGGCGAGGGAAAGTCTAAATGGGTGGAAAAATATATATGGAAGTAAGAAAAGTAAAGAACGGCGAGAAGAGCCCCTGGGGACAATGTCTTACCAGACCAGCTCCAAACGGTCGCCGCCGTTCTGGCTTCTGATTGGTGCTAGAAAAAAGCCAGAACGGCGGCGACCGTTTGGAACTGGTCTGGTAAGACATTGTCCCCAGGGGCTCTTCTCGCCGTTCTTTACTTTTCTTCGTGCCATATTTTTCCGCCCGTTTAGACTTTCCCTCGTCCCCACTATCTCCCCCTGGGTCTCCGAGGATGAACTGGCTGGTGCTAAGGTTAGCTTGGGATAAACCTGATTAGTATATAGACACTCAGTGATCTTGGTGATTTAAGCAATCTGATTGGTTCGCTATCTCCGATTATTCAATATTCGCCTCCTAGCCCTTTAAGACCGAATTGTACGATCTGATATGGCCCACAGTCATTTGACCAGCAGTTTCCGCAAACTTAGTTTCCAGACCCCCCTTCTTTGCAAGGCCTAGTGGATTATTTTGTTTGCCATTTAGAGTGGTTTTGAACCAGTTTCTGCGACATTTTCGATTTGTTACAGCAAGAGTAAGCTTAATTTTAGTTCTGCAACATGTCTGAGCATAGGACACGTTATGATTTGAACTATTTTTTGGATTATTTTGGATGGAAACTTCGAGATACCCGATCGTGGCATGTTTCGGATATCGAAGGCTTTGATATGAAGACCGAAGAAGATAGCAAGGACGGAGTAATGAAATTTTTGCAAACCAGAGAGAAGAAGAAGAGGAAAACTCAGTCTTCGGGACATACACGTTGATGATTTCAACAGGGATTAAGATATTTTTCATCCTGGAAGGCCACAAAACATTTGTTTGGATGTTTATGTTTAGCTCCTAGAAAGCGATCCAGAAGTTCTCACTTTCAATTAATAAGGTTGGGCCTACGAAGGTGTAACACCCAACCATGCTGTATTTTGTGGACAGAATATAACCTTGATAGTATCAAAGATAGGCAAATGTGGTATGAAGATAATCCTCAGTAAATTTGCTTTAGATTTAGACTCCTGCAGTAATTTTCACGACCAAATTGAAAGTTCAGTACACTGAAAACAATTGAGGTGAACTTGTTGCGTGACATGAACTTAATATTTAACAACCAGTTTATTATTTTTTATTAGTTACTTATGAATAAAAAGTGGCTCGGCAGATAGCGCAAAGTCTTGTCTACCAGATATCCAAAGTTTATGTTGATACCTTAAATTTCAAGGAAGATGTATTGCATTTAACAATACCAGCCTTAGATCTTAAAATGTATTCAAGTCTTAAAGGGCTAGTGAGTGGATAATGTGTGAGCTCGGTGTTTTTCCCATTTTTTGAGAGAAGGATCTTTTAAAAGTCAGCAAAATCCTAGGGTTGACTTTTTTTATAAAGGCAAGAAAAGACTTGAAAGGATTCAAAACGGCGTTTTTCCATTTACTGTAGCTGAGTTTTGTGCTGGATGAATTCAGTAACAAGATAGAAAAATAATTTTAACTCTGGATTGGAGCAGAAAACCTTCTTATATTAGTACGGCAGAAAGGAACATAAAATCGAGTTGAACTACGCGTTCATTGTTTAGTGCCGCTATGTTGTTTTTCATCAAGTCGAAGTGCATCACTTTTATCGCCCAAAAAACAGGAATAATTCATTGATTCGAGATCAAAAATCCAACAAACACATCGCAAACGGATATAAAAAGCTAGTTCGTGCCTTGAAACGCGAAGCTGTACAGTTTTTAGTGGCAAAAAAACCTTGCCGTAAATCACTTACCGCTGGAAGCGCTTCCTGCGGTTCAAACGTGAACTGCAAACTGCAAAAGTGACCGCAAGGCCGTGGTCACGCGACATTTTGGGGTTTGCGATTTGCGGTTTTCCATGAAAAACCTGATGCTAAAGGTCTCTAATAATTAAGAGTATAGTGACCTGCCTCGAACAGATTTCAATTATAACTACTTTATCTGAAATATCAGTGACATTAGAGACCATTAGAGTTTATGTTTATAGACTGCACATTTTCCCTAGGAACCTCAAGTTCTTATTAACTCCGAGTGCCACTTTCAAGTTAACTAATATCTCAACTTGAATTAAAATGTTTTCTCTTTCATAATTTACGAATCAAGTATCAGGCTTGGACAGCCAAACATTGGTGATATCCATGCAATCCTGTCATTTATTAGTTAAAGTTTCTCTTAACACGTCACTCAGAATAAGCTACATAAACACAATCAAGGCTATAGTCAGTCTTAATACCAGCTTAATTTTAATCCATGCAATTTTAAGTATTAGCGTAAGAACTATCCTCTTTATACTGCGCTGTTCTTTTAGCCACTCTGGCCCTAATTAAGGTAATCCAAGACAGTCTGTGGATTCAGGATTTCAAGTATTGGATTCCAGATTCCTTGTCAGTGGAACTTGCAATCAGGACTTCGAATTCCTAGAGCTGAATTTACATTGTACGGATTCCAAAGCCCAGGATTCGGGATTCCAAAAGAAAAAATTTTCTGGATTCCGAAATCCGCATAACCCTACATAAGCCGAGTCATTAAAACAGGCCGTAGCTCTTCAACAGTGGATAACCATATTTATCCACTAGATGAATAACTACCTGGATAACGTCCGGGAATGGTTTTTGTAACACTTAACCAGTGACTAGTGGATTGTCCAACTTTTGAACAATCAGGACCAGAGAGCTTATCCTTGTGAAGCTGATCCTCAAAAACGCGTTTCCAGTGTATTAAATAAGCCGACGTAGATTTCAGGATCTTGATGGTTCTTTGCACAATTATTACTCCCTGTTCGCAGCTGGGTTTCGCTTTTGATGTTGCTATCCACTGACAAATTACTGGGCTGTGGATCATTTTTCGTTATGTTCACCTTTACGTTTCCACCTGCCTCTGTAAAGAAGGATATACAATTAGATTAAAAGCAATGTGCAGTAAGTCGGTCCAAGCGAATGAATGTATAATCGATCTTGCATACCTTCGTGGCACACCACTTCAACATTGTCGTCTCTTTGATCATCGTCGGACTCCTCCGCCATACTGTCAAAACACTGCACGTTGTATTCGACGTGCGATTCTTTCACAGCAGTCAGGTCTACGTATGGATTGTCCTTCTGCATTATAGTCTCCAGGGTCTCCCGAATCTGGGTGAAGGTGGGACGATTTTCAGGGTTATCCTGCCAACAGTCGTGCATCATTTTGTAACTGTAACAAAAAAAACAAAAAAAAGTAAAAGAAATTTACCAAGTACACAAAGAATCAACTACTAGCTGCTGGTAACTGAATGGTTATTTAAGTTCAATATCTACATCATCAATGTCATGACTTACAGCTCTTTGTTGCAAGTGTCTGGCTTTTCCATTCTGTACCCATTCTTTAGCAGTCGAAATAGCTCTTTGCTTTCTATGGTAGGGTATGGCGTCCCACCTGATATGATGATTCAGGAGTCAGTATTATAGACGGCTGGATCCCAGAGATGCCAAGTATTTCCCAAGATTGTAGGGAGTTTATAAGCAAAGGCCCGCGTTTTTGAACGACGTACGTCAACAGGAATTGAGACCTTTTCCCTGGTATACCTTTCGTGACACTAACAGATTTGTATTGCTAAGTGTCTTCACACTTGCAGAGACGGTTTCCCTACATTTGGGCGAGATTACTGCCCATAAATGCAAAAAAGACCACTCCCGGTTGACCTGCGTCACTCAAAAACGCCTTTTTGTAAGACCAGTAAGGACTTTGTAAGACAAGTGGATCATACTAAGGGCTATATTATATTAAAATCCAATTAATAGAAAAACGGGCTTGCCATGCTTTCTTCAGAGAAAACTGGGCATTTGGCGATAAACACCGAATAGCCATTTTAGGAAAAACTTTTAAAAAGTCAATATTTTCCCAGCTCTCAGAGTTTGCACTTGAACCACAGGGTCTAGAGGAGATGCGTTTGTCGTTAGAACATCAAAACCCGTCGAAAACCTCTGAAAAATGGGTTATTTTGATCGCGTTACAGTTTCGTTACACATTCTACAGACCGCAAACCAAGGGATTGAGGGCTCGCAAGATCGGCTTACAGTATAAAATACGGAAAGCTTGTCCGTTTTTTACTCGGTACTTCGTGTCTCGGTCGCGCTTCGGGCGACGTGCCGTGCGCCAGCGGGGATATGGCTTGCGGTTATTGATTTTCAAAATGGCGAACAACAAAGTCGATCTGGGTCAGATAAGAAGCGAAGAAATCGTTTACAGTAGATTCATAAAGATCCCATTGGGCTAATTAGTCGTGCTAAGCGACAGGTATAGACATTTTTCAAGGTGAGACTTTAAATAAGTAATTCATTTATTCACACGAATCTCCTCTGGACCCTCTGCTTGAACTGGCACAAATACTACCTACGTATTTTTTTTTGGCAATATTGCAACAACAGGGCAGTTATCAGCAGTGTCACGCAATTCCTCCAAAAATGGTTCAAATGATTTTTGCGCGTAAACGAAAAATGATCACGTGCTGAGTAGGCCAATACTACGTTGTCTCAGTTTATTTAGTATGATAAAAATAGGCGTAAATGTTTACCACTCCGTCAATATCATATTTTTCGAGAACGCTCTTGATGTTGAAAGTCACTGTTTACTCGAATTTGTATACAGATATATTTAGCTGTTAGTGTACCTAGAGTAACTATTTCCCAGAGTACTACTCCAAAGGCCCATCTGTAAGAAATACGAGGAACGAAATTAGATTTGTCATTGAAAAGATAGGTATGTTTTTGTTAAAGGAACTGGGTGATGCCTTACGTATAGCTTACAATAATTGGGATTGACGGTGCATGCACTTAACTTGCAAAATCCTTTATGTGAATAAGTTAAGATGATTAAGTCCATCACGGGACTATCACAATACACCGGTACTGCTATAAAAACCTTTCTTCATTTCTTTTCTGGGGAAAGTCACAGCCTGAGAACCGTAAAACGGAAGCAGGACAATAAGCTGTCTATGATCGATGGATAACGAAAGCAGCAGGAAATAAAACTTGGGTTATTACGTCACGAGGTATCGACACGTTGAATTTACACTTGTACCAATGGATGCTTTTCTTAGCTTTTAGTCAATCTCAATTAATCGTCGTATTGTTAGAAACTAGAACACCTGTCTGACGGGGTTTAAAAACCCCTATAGCGCGTATACATGACCTTACATAAATGAGATTCCACCGCATTGTACACATGAGTTAAAGACTAATGGCTACGACGTCATTGGCGTTAATGCATTTGATCGCAAAGTAATGAGATCCTCCCCAAAAAGGAGTAAATATCACTACTATACTACTGTGGTTTCTTTCCGGCATGACTTTTAGCGTATGCGGAGTCGTAAACAAGCCAACTACGCGAATGCCAGCAACGTGAACGACTTCGTTAAAGTTAAAACCCATGCCGAAAAGAAACTTCTGTCAGCAGAGTATAAGCTCGCCCTATTTGATCATTTTATTCATTTGAACTTTGCGTTGAAAGTGTATATGAATTAGTTTTTTACTTTCTTCATTTACGAAGAGCGCTATATTTAGTTTACATGCATTAATTGATGAGTTATCTTACACATCGCTCTTCGTCGTGAATGTGTGGTCAAAGATAGCTTCTGTTGACATCCATTTCAAGGGCAGTTTCCTGTTTGGTTTGCCATGGTAAACTTTCTCTTCATACACGTGTCGACTCAGTCCAAAGTCTGACACTTTTGCAATCTTATTTTCTCCAATAAGTACATTTCTAGCCGCCAAATCGCGATGAACATATCCCTTTCTCGCCAGGTAGTCCTTACACAAGAAAAAAACAATTTTATGTCAGAAATTTAAACGTTGTGCAAAATCAGATGAGGTGGAACGACCGCGCGAAAGGGCCCTGAGTTTATCGTCATACTCTAGCCTATCCGAGTCACTGCAAATCAAAAAAGTTTTCAACCATTTGCAGATGGCAGAGAAAAAAACTTAGCACTTTCTCCTCGGTTAGCTTCGGTTGTTTAAAGACTCTGCGTGTAAGTCGGCCGGAAGCAAGCCATTTGTGCTACCTAGAAGGAGAAGTCTGGCGTTTTTTTCTTCATTTTGGACGTACATTTTTCTCAAAAAAGTAGCTTAAGACTGGTGGCTTGCTTACCATGCCTTGGCAGATATGCCAAGCAAACGCCATTAGATTTCCATAGGTCAAAATCTCCTCGTTGTGGTCTTCTTTTTCTTCCTGATCTTCCATTTTCAAGCTTTTGGTTTCCCCGCTAGTTTTCATCCTGTTTGTCATATCATCCGGTGTAATGAATGTGACGGAACCTCCATGCTCTTTGTTTGACTTTTGGAAGGCCAGGAAGACGTAAAGAATTAGGATACGAACGTATTCGGCACTTCATGTTATCTCACATATTAGTAAAATCCAGCTAGTGGTCTATTATCAATGCTGCGTTCTGATTGGTTGAGCTACTACTAGGCTATACGTTATAGCCTACTTGTAGCGAAAAGCGCACGATTTTTGGCGACAAAAAAGGATTAAAGTCTAGCTTTAAATAGCCAAAAATTCTCTTATTCTCAATATTTTTGACCAACTAGTTGGATTTTACTAAAATAATTATTCCTCTCGCCCTCATGGCCTCTGAGTCAATAGCCCATGAGGCCGAAGGCCCATTCGGGCTCGAGGAATAATTGTTAAATGCACGTTGTTTACACTCCAATATTTTGCCAATAAAACAAGCATTGTTTTCAATATGTTTTGGGACAACTGTATTACTCATGTAAGAGAATTTTTTTTTTAAATGGGAGGGGGGGGGGAGGGGGAAAGGGGGCAAAAAAGGTGTTGTTCATAAGGGCCTTGAAAGCTTGGATGTTACCGTTTTGAGAAGAACAAAATTTCTTTTGGCCTCGTAATCCCATTTCCATACTACTAGGCTCAAATTTTGATAAAGGCTAAAACTTTGCAAAAACGATAACAATTTTAAGAACGCAATGCCAAAAAATTTGATTGAAATCAATTTGTGTAAGTTAAAAATTTTTAGATATTTTTGTTTTAATTGTCATATATTAGAAAATAAGAATTTGTTTTTTTTTTATAGGGTGTTGGAATAGTTGTTTAATTGGAGAATGTGTTTTTTTTGTGGAGGGGGGGGGGGGGGGGGGGGGGAAAGGGGGCAAAAAAGGTGTTGTTCATAAGAGCCTTGAAAGCTTGGATGTTACCGTTTTGAGAAGAACAAAATTTCTTTTGGCATCGTAATCCCATATCCATACTACTAGGCTCAAACTTTGATCAAGGCTAAAACTTTGCAAAGACGATAACACTTTTAAGAACGCAATGCGAAAAAATCTGATTGAATAATTTCTTAACAAATAGCATTATATATCTTAGGCTGTTTAGATAATTTTAAAATTACAATTATTCACCTGCCTAATAGAGATTAGCTTATAGCGGAGCTCTCGCGCGCGAAGCGCGCAGCGGAGCACAATGGGTAAGAAAATGTGATAATCTACCCATCCGAGAAAATTTGGTAATCACGTGACCGTACGCCCGACCGTCCGTCCGCACCACAGGCATACCAATGTTAAATAACTCAATCAACAGGTATGGCAACTCAAGTGCAACTCGAGGTTATTTTGGCGGGAAATCGCATAGCCACCTGCGTCTTGCAAAGCGGAGGCAACTAAAGAGTCAATAAAGACGAAACCGGAAAGCGGAAATTGTTTCTGTATTCGTGTTTTCCAAAGTTTTAAGCTTCGATTAATTGTTATGTTCACAAATTTGGAATATGGAACAAGAGAAAGACAGAGAAAAAGAAAAAAAGCGGCAGGCCAGCGAAACTCAAAGAGAAAAAGGGGGACAGAGATCTAGAGCGAGAGATAAAAAGCAAAGGAGGCATTTTTTTGTTGGAAGAACAACATGAAAATTTTGTAGCGGAGGGTGACAATGCTAGCGGCACAGTAGCGGCCACCAATGCAAGGAGAAAATGAGCAGAGTGAAAAAAAAAAGTGAACGGGAACACTTACGAAATTTCCTCCATAATTTTCAAAGACCTTCAAAGTGCAACATCAGCACGTTTTGTTGCCGTTTCTTTACATGTTTTTTTCACACGACGTGCACCTTTCAACGAAAAAACGATTAATCTGGTATTGTTGTTTTTTCACCGTTCTCCGACGTTGCCTTCGCCGCTTGGCGTTACACGATTTTATATTTTGTTTGAACAAACTATAAATATTATCGAGAGCTTCGCTTTTAGCCCTGGCTAAATCTATATATTAAATATTTTAGTTCTGATGTCATTTATATTTGGTTTTAAGAGAGTTATTAAATATGTTTGTCTGTACTTCTGAAAAGACCTGATTAGGGATGGAATATAAGTATGTATGTAAGTATTTAAGGGAATAAATACCGTTTTCCTATGTTTTCTGAGGTAGTGTAGGAGATCACCGTACGGGGCATATTCCACTAACAAAAACATAGGTTCCTCGAGAGTGCAGCAGCCGACCATGCTAACAATATTCTTGTGTGACCCCACCGCCTTCATCAACTGAATTTCGTCGAGAAAGTCTTGCCGTACACTTTCATCTGGCATATCTAATGGCAAAGAGAAAATAATGGATGTCTTTCTCTGGATCGGTTCTGGTTCGATTTTATCGGTGAGGCTTTTAGCTAGACAGTATGGAGCCTGGGGAAAGTATTAACCGCGCAGGATAAAAGCTCATTCAGCAGAGCGCTTGACTGCAGAGCGGGAGATTGCGGGCTCGATTCCAGGGGTCGGACCAATACTCTGAGTCTTAAAGTAACTGAAAAATGAAGGTACTGCCTTTTCCTACAATTGGCTAGACCTTCGGGTGACCCGGATGACCATGTAAAATGGCGGTCCCGTCTCCAGCAAGAGACGTAAAAATGGTGTCCTTAACTAGTAATTTTGTGCTAAATACATTGACACTCAAGCTGAAGTTATTCAGCTTATACCTTTACAAAGGATTGTCAGAAACTATTCAGTGTATATTATTTACAACACCAGGAACAATTGATACTCACTGTGAAGCACTTTTACCGCAACTACGTATGTTTCACTTCCACTGACAGTTTTAGTAGTTTTCTTCCACGGCTTCAAACAAAACTTCTGGGGCAAAGAGCTGGTGGGTTTGATTAGAGTTCCCTTGTACACCTTACCAAAGGCTCCCTCTCCAATCTCAGATTCAAGCGTAACAAGGTCACCATCTACCTCCCAATGATCAATAATAAAGCCGTTTTTCCTGCAAAAAAGAGAGATAAGAGTTTACTGTTGCAATTGTTTGAAAACGTTATAAATATCTTGTTTGTTGAGTCATTATACAAAACAAAAACTATGAAGAATTCTGAGTCTAAAGAGGTCCATCAAGAAATGCGGAGCTGGTTTAAGAAAAAAAAAGTTTTTCTCATATTTATATTAAAAAACTCAGTCACCAGTTAACTGTTGCTTAGTTACAAGCCTTTTTTGCAAGTATTACCCAATAAAACGGTTTTTTTTAACAATCTTGAATTTCTTAATTTTATCGTCCTTCGATTTTCCCCAAAATATTTCCTCACGTCTAATTTTATTATGAAGACAAAATATTGTTTACCCTAGAATTAGACCTTTCTTCTTTGAAATCTTCTGTCTTCTCCAGCGACACCAAATAAAGATCATGCAAATAACGGCCGCGAGCAGAAAACCAATCACTAGTCCAGCAATTACACCAGGCGTAAAACTACCCAGGCTGCCAAGGGCCCCTTCTGCTTCTGGTAATAAAACAACACAGATTATCGATATTGTGAGGGAAGATATTAATCATCATGGATAATATGTATGAAGGGTTTAGTTTTATCGTTTGTCTCACGACTGTCACTTTGATATTGGTCGTGACGCGACCGCACACTGCAGGTCCTCATCAGGCGATAAAGTCGATTTACTGAGTCGAACTATTTGTACCAACGTGGCTGTCAGTGATTGGTGTATCACAAACCTCGCTCATGGTTGGTGCGTTTCGATCCAAAGTAGTGTTGGCATAGTGAGAGGAAAAAACTGATCCCTCAGCGGTCCGCTGTGGTAGTGGTCGGATGTTATGTCGTCTGATTGTAGGCATCCACGCTTTAGGAATCTCAATTCCACTGTGCCTGTTGATATTGTTAAGGTGAAGTCTTATGTGTCACTCTCTGAGAAAGTGTTCCAGAGACCAAAAGTTGTGGTCAACTGATTTGGCTGAAACATGGCACAGAAGTTGGGTGTGATGAGATATTTCAAAGGCCACTTTGGCTCAGTTCTGGGAATGTTAGTTTTGGAGTTTCGGGGGAGGGGGGTCTCTTTTTTTGCCTTCTGAACACCAGCCTTCAAGAGGGCATTTTAAAAGTGCCATATAAACCCATTGGTAAATTGCACTGCCAAATGAATTTCACCACGGGCTCTACTGTAATAGAGCTTTCATTTTATGCATGTAACTTGCATAACGAATCCGGATGTTTCCCTGACATTTGGAAAGAGTCGCTTGTTACACCACTGTATAAAACTTCGGCCGTTTCCGAACACGCCAATAACACCGGGTATCATCGGCTCTGGGACGAAGTTAAGTTTATTGACCGAGACCCTCACTGGCACCTTCGTAGAGTTAGGAGGTTATCCACATAAGACTTCACCCTAACAATCAACAGGGGAGTGGAATTAAGATTCCTGAAGCGTGGATGCCTACAATCAGACAACATGACAACCGACTTCTACCACAGCGGACCGTTGAGGGATCAGTTTCTTCTTCTCACAATGCCAACAATGCTTTGGATCGAAACGCACTCCTTGACCATGAGCGAGGTTTGCGATACACCAATCACTAACAGCCAACGTGGTGCAAATAGTTCGAGTCGGTAAATAGGACCTGCGGTGTGAGGTCGAAACGTCGCTATCAATATTAAAGTGACAATCGAGAGACAAACGATAAAACTAAACCTTTTGGTATCAATAATGTTGGAGTTTACGACGCCATGACGTTATATTTACCTCGTGTAGACAAGGGACTCAATTTATAATGGTCGATTAATATTCGGTCATAGGTAACTAGGCAAAGCTACAATAAAGGTACATAATACTAGTCTTAGAAAGCACCAAGCCAAGTGCCAAGGTTGAGCTTACGTATCGTTTAAAGTTCGGGAAAGGGCTAATGGGCCAATTATGAAAGACATTCTTTAGTATGCACTGACTTTTTCAGAGTTTGGTACGTAATGGAGAGCTTAGCCTGGGTGCGATACTAGTTGTGAAATTCTTTCTTCTAGTCATAACACTTTCAAGAACAGAAAAAATAAATAAATTCAGTAGGACTGGGGCAAACGCCATACTTTCCATGAGCCTTATATTTTACAGTTTGATTCAACTTATTAATGCGATTGAATTGAATTTAGCTAAACTCTAAAAATACTTATCTCATAATTTACATCCTAAAGATCTGGTTTTTGGTTTTTAATTTTATCTTGAATTTTGCCATGTGTTCAGCCAGCTTTAGTTGGGTGAACGGATCCACGATCAAGTTAGTGTCACGTGAAAAATCTTCGAGAAATAATTTATCTGTCTATTGCTCATTCATAACATTCAAAACACTAATAGCTATCGTGAGATTACAGATCGTGAGATTTAGATTTAGAAACAGTTCAGGTGGGCTACTCGCCTTTCTTGAATAAAACTGAATTGTGTTATTCGGTATTTTCATATTTATAACTTGTCATTCAGGCATTTTTGAAGTGCCGCTTTTTTGCCCATAACTCATGTCCTGAATACCGCTTAATGAAGTTTGATGGGTTTGTTTACACTTTCTATATATACTCGCTGAAAAAAATATGAGAGCTCTCCCTTTGTCCGATTTACGAGCCAAGTTTCGCTTTTTCAAAACAAGATTGAAGCTGTTGTAGCGTTTATGATTTGTAGTGTATTACTGAACTAAGCCATCCCACGTTTCTCAGTGAATTCACTGCACAACACTTGAACACGAAACGCAAAGTTTGTGCGTGTTAGATAAAGAATTACAGTTATTAGTAGCGAAAAAGGTTGTTATTTGCATTCCTATGTCTGCCCTCACAGAAAATAACCACCTAACGGTAAAATTTTCTATCAGATAGTGTGAGGTGTAAATGTAAAGGCTACACTTAAGTGTTCGTCCGGGCCCGAAAAGAAAACACATCTTATTAATAAGCTTACGGGAACTCAAAGTCGTCCATAATAACGTTTCAAGGTTATGACGTTCGTTCAGCACAAATACGAAAACAACTAAACTGGGAAGAGCTTGCCTCAAGTCGTCAAAGGCACTTAAGTCTATTAATGTATGGTACAGTGAATGGAAATGTACCTAGTTACTTAAGCGATCTTTCTCGAATGTCTGTGAGAACAACCCTTATAAGTCTATGCTAAGAAATACGGAATATAATGTTGTACTGGACCACGTTCCAAAAACAGAATATTATAAAGGGTCTTTCTCATACAGAGGAGGAATGCTGTGGAATTCATTACCAAATGACATAAAAGCGCCCGAATCTAAAGCTAACTTTAAAAGAAAACTGGCTAGTAGGCAGGCAAACTGTTGACTACATTTTACTATATTTTATTATTTGTACATATTTTTAGTGTAGTTGTACAGTATTTACTTCTGTTTCTATACGGCTTTCATGCAAAGAAGTTATGTAACTTATGAAATTACCGTATTCAAATAAAAGTGAATCAATCAATCAATCAATCACATACTGACCCTAGAAATCGTAACAAGTAAACTGCTGCTACTGAAGAGACCCATAATTTCGCAAATTAAATTGATGTGGATTCGATCATGTCTACGTAGTTTGGAAGAATTCTATCACTTTGATTGGACTTGATGCATAGTGTGTTTGAAGGATATTTTTTCTTAGTCATTTAACCTCTCCCTCTTAAAGTAAATTGATGCCGAATACAGTTAAATAGGGATTTGAAAATGCCTTTGGGGTGGCTTAAAGCTTGTTTGCTCAAATTTGATTGTTTTTATTATATATATACAAACGGAAGTTTCGCTTTTAGCCCTAGCTCAATCTATATACTAATTATACGCAACCGTCAAATTGCTTACTTGGTTCTGTTCGAACAATTGAAATCTTAGCAGTAGTTCCCGTTACGGCAGACGCTTCATAAACAGGAGTGACCTGGGAAGGAAAAAGGCTATGCCATGGTCAAGATTCTGAATACATCCATTTTAAAAATAACACTGTAGTAGTCAAATATGTAATAATTGCAGTTTAGCTCACCAACGGCTTATTTACATTTACCATTTAACATAAATTTCCGGATCACCTGGAAGATTCTGAAGCAGGCTATCGCCTACAACCCCTCTTCCAAACGATGTAATTTATGCCTATGGGAGAAATATTTTATAATCTGTAAGCCCCATCTAGCCGCTCTTAACAAGCGCAACAAGCTTGTATCTTCCTATAGACAGACACGCTAGCAAATTTCTGTTGAAAAATTTCAAATCCTCATCTGTTGCATAATAGAACCCATAGAAACAGCGTTGTATCCGTAGTAACCACATTTTAAATTTCAGTTATAATCAGCGTGTATACTGTTGGTTTCTACCATTAGGCTATTTTATCTGAAGAGTACTGCACCATCGTGTAGTATGAAACGATATAGTAATAAAATGCCTAGTAAAATCTTCAGTTGATGAAACATTGTACTTCTGGTACCATTTAGGTCTGTCACTCAATGCTCAAGACTTATTAACTTGCTGGATAAACAAATAAATGGAGGAACGAACAGGGTAAACATTAGTTTAACAAAGGCAACAGTGAAAAATTAGTAAATTCCCAGCTGCCTCTTACCCAGAAGGGATGGATATCCGCCTACTCTGAAGCATTTATTAAGGCATTATCATTAATTATTATTCATTCAAAATATTTCCCCGATTCTGATTGGCTAAAAGCACACGTTTAATTCACCATAACCAGTTACTGATGACCAAATTTGGAAGAATTTTGACTTTAACGAGGAAATGACGTCAAAAATGACTGGGGACGAGGTTGAGTTGTTTTGGTTGTGAACTTGAAAAAATGGCGGACATTTCACTCGTTTCAAGAGTAAGAACTAGGCGAAAAAATATCTAAAAACATGGCAAGAACAGCAAGAAGACAACTCGGAGGGCGACATCTGCTATTTGGAGAATATTTGCGGAGCTGGACAAACCTAAACGTGCACTATCGAAGATGAACTGAACATCGATAGATCGATGGAGGTAAGCATGTTTTAGCCATGTTTTTTAACTAGGACTTATTTTGAATGAATAATAAAACAGTTATTGAATTCGGCTTTCGTATCATATGAAGAATTATGGAGATCTCGGAGGGTGTTGTCCGCCTCGGCCTACGGCCTCGACGGATAACACCCTCCTCGATCTCCATAATTCTTCATAAGATACTCAGCCTCATTCATTAACTGTTAATTATATAATGATAACAATAATAAAAACAGTTATTTTATTCTTATTATTAAAATTATTATTATTATTATTATTATTATTATTATTATTATCAACATCATTATATTAATACTTAATATAGCCAACAAATTGCACCTGTAAAAGTTCCGCCATTATTATAACGACATTTAAGAAAATTTGTCAGTTCGCAGTGCAGAGATGCAAATACTCAGACTTACAAACCACCCTTCGTGCACAAACAAGACCTCACTCACCTGAAATTTGACCCTCTCATTCAAGTGAATTCCATCTATAACGACACTAGTTTCTGTCTGTAAAAAAATGTATACACACCAAATAATATTGCAACGAAAACTGTTAGAAAAAGTGCATTTATTTTGCTTCTTTTTTGTTATTGGTCAAAATTAAATTCAGGCCAAAAATTCCAACATGATTCTTTGTTTCCTTTGTCTCTTAACCTGAATCATGCACGTTCTGAGATGCAGAAGACTAGGAACTGACTGGCAATCAACCTTCTCCTATTTCTGCCAAAATAGCTGAGTTACCGCGTCTTCCGCCGTCCCATATTCTGTCCATTTGTGTGCAACTGGCAGTTAGCAATTGTACCGCTATCGGCAACTTCTTCCAAATTTCATCACTACAAGCTAGTTACGAAGATTAGCTGGGCCATTTAAAGCAATCAGAAACGCAACTTCGTTCCCAGGGCTTTCTCCTACCCGTCCCTACCGGATAGAAGAGAGAACCTGAGAACGAGGTTGTCAGAGACGGAGTGATAATTTGAATGAATAGTGTAAGAAAAAAATTAAACTTAAAAATTAAATAGGTCCGTATAGGTTCGTTTGGTCCGTATAGCAAGTCAATTTGTGGTCCTTAAGTTAAGGACCACAAATTGACCAATCGAATGGCGAAAACAGACTTAGTCTTATAATAATGCCAGGTAACAATAAGTGACGTCGGCTAAGAAGAGTGTACAAAAGTTAAATCCGGCTTAAATTGGCCGTGCATGTAAATTGAGTATAATCGTTTTATTCAAAATTTCGTTGCAGTTACTGCCCTAGTATGTGCGCATACTGACAGTAGCAACAAAAAGTAACTCACCGTTGTGTTTTCGAGGTAGGGGCCACTAGCTCTTCGTTCTCTCTGTCCCTTCCTTTTCTTGGAAGTACTGTATACATAATAGCTGACATTACTTTGTGTAAAAAGTGGTTTCTTCCATCTAACTATCGTTCTGAATGAGGTGGAATAACTGGGAACTAGTTCCTCGTTCTTCAGTCCAACAACCTTTAACAGCTCCGCCCTAGGTGCTAGGGTAAATGGTATTATATTAGAGTTCGAAGATCGATGAATTAGCTATAGGGACCTTAATTTGACACACCGTTTCAACTTACGTGTAGGGTAGGCGAACATTTGCCTCGTACTCTATTTAAGGAGACCATGATTTCCCCATTTGTTCTACCCGGTATTCCAAGGGGCGGGAATCTTGTGTGCCTTAACATAAAACTAAAGAATCCTATATGTAATAATGAAAATTACGATGTCTCCGTTGATATGTACTGACAGCTGACCTTTAACTTCTAAATTAGGCTCACTGTCTGAAGCTCCGGTTGCACAAAACTCAGAAATCGATGATTTCTTACGGTTCTTATTGTCTAACCTGGTGCAGTTTCCATTAATTCATTTTCTATCTTCTGTATATTTTTGTTTTTATACATCGGTGTAACCTGAAAGACAACACAAGTTTCCATCAAAATAAACAGGGTCTTAATAATAGGGAGTCAATATACTTTTAATTTAATTCAATTTAATTTAATTTCATAATTCCTTTGTCTTTTTTAAGATAAGATAAAGGTTAAGGTGCGTCTCAGAGAATCGCTACGGTAAATTGCATGGCCATGAGCGGTGGTGATGGTAGTGATGGAGGGATAAATAGAAATTGGGTAGTGGCGGTGGTGGTGGGTAGCGATGGTCGTGTATGGAAAACGAAGGTGGTGGCAGTCGTGGTAGCACAACAGAAATGTGGTCATGTTGGTGGTGGTGGTGGTGGTGGTGAAACAAAAATATAAATGTGGTGGCGGTATTGGTTGTAAAACAATTTAAACAACTTTGTGATAGTGGCGCTGGTGGTAAAACAATTAATATGTGATTGTCGTGTTGTTTTCGGTGGTAAAAACAAGAAAAATGTAGTAGTGCAGACATTGTTGTAAAAGGAAGGAAACTGAGGCATGTAACAAGAAATTTTGCTTGATGCTAGAAAGAGAGTAGTTTGCCTTCACAATACACCTTGTTCCAAGATGGCGACAATTTTTTTGTTCTTTGATAGTTATGTTAATTGGCCGTCGATGCCTCGATCGCATCTTCAGAATTCAAAAGAATTTCTAGGTAGAATCGAGGCATCCAGGGCTAATTTACATGAATATAAAAGAATTGTAAAGCCGTGGCAATTTTGGAATAAGGTGTATACACAATACACAAATACACAATTTGTGCGCCAAGAATCAGTGAACAGGAACAAAAGCAGTTTGTCGGACAATGAAAGTGGCAGGTCAAAAAAGGTACTTACATAATTACGGGTGTCAGTAAAACGCAGCGGTTGACACTAACCCTAAATAACCCTATCCTAATCCTAAACCTAACCCTGAATAACCCTAACCCTAAACAACCCTAACCTAACCTTAACCCTAAAACCCCCTTTTTTAAAAAAATAAAAGATAAACCCCGACCCCTCGTTTTACTGACACCCCATAATTACGTTACGATGAAGTCATAGGCGAGTTAGTGCTTATTCTTTTGACAAAATGAGTCAGCCGATGAATAGTTTTAGTCAATTAAAGAAAAGCGACTTTTTAAACATTAAGCTATGAAAAAATTGCGTAAAAACTATTCTTAAGAAAAATTAAAGTTCTTACGCAATTTATTTTTTATAGCTAAAAGCTTTTACTCAAGCAATAAAAAACCAAGCCATCCATTGACCCGGCAATAATTAGAAAGTTGCCCAACGAGTCTAACCAATCTAGTCTCAAGTGCCCTGGGGACGAGGTTGCGAGTTTAACAACCTAAAAGCATGCACACAAGTCTTTTTATCTTGATGAGCTCTTTCGCGTATTATTCATGAGAGCAAAAACTATGGCATCATAAATTAATCACATTAATGAATTTCTGCCCTTCTTAATTAGATTCCTACCCAATGAACGAATTTTTTCCTACTATGCTACTCGCAGAACTTGTGTCTAAATGATGTTGGCCTCGCTTGGCTTTGATGAGATCTAATCAAGAGACTATAAAGGGGAGAGAGAGGACATCCCCCATATACACCCTATTCCATAGGTAATTCGTCTCGAGTTATTTTTAGAATCGGGATAAAGTTACCTCGCGCGAGGCGTGGATGTTTCGTGGAGGTTTCGCATGACCAAACGCCGTGCAAAACATGTCAGGCGAGAGGCAATGAAAGCGTAAAAGGATCGAGAGCATTCCTGAATATTGAAGCGAAATGAGTCGGCGCTCACCTGGGAAAAAGGAATCGCTGGACTCTTTGACAACCCGTGAAATCAGTTTAACTCGAAGTTGTCGTAACCTCACTGCTTTAATAAAATGAGAAATTTCGCCGGTCTATTGAAACCGGTCTTTTGTACGATTTAGGGAGTTTAAGATCTAACGACGCGGACGACAACTAGAACGTCAAAAAACCAATATAGGTTTAATTAGCAAAACAACAACTTCGCACGTGCAACACACTTTTTTTTTCATTTCTTTCCCGTTTTTGCACGACTACGACGTGAAAATGCCTAATTTCGCGTTTTATGGAGGACGTAAATAAGCAACGACGAAATTTTATTTCTCTTTCTGAGCTTGAATATGGTCCCTTGAAATTCAGCTTTAGGAGGGTTCGCCTACAATTGACAAAGTAAGTGGGTAGGAATAATCGCTATAAAGACTGAAAAAAATAAACATCAAACCAGAAATTGCTCTCTTCAAACTGTAAATTATAAATGATCCTGAGAGAATATTCAGTGTGTTAAGGATTTCCCTGCTCTACTGTTAGCTCTATACAAGAGAGGAAGGGCGATTCTTTTTTAATTTCGGTTTCGCTGACACAGCTTTCGCAGAAATCTCGCTGTAGTCGTTTTCGTCGACAAAAGGAATAGCAAAATCGCTCTCCGCGTCTTCCCCCATTTTGTTCTGCGTCATTTCGTGAAGGACGCGTGGCTCTCAGCGTGGGTCATCCACGCGGAACACATTCGCGCTATGTGATTGGCTGTTGTCTAATCCCCCTTGAGATCTGTGGTGTTAAAAATAACTCGAGACAAATTACCTATGGAATAGGGTGTATATGGGGGATGCCCTCTCTGTCCCCTTTATAGTCTCTTGGATCTAATGTATTCGCTAATCGTACCTTTAACCTAACTGTTTCCTTTGGTCTTATCCCAGGTAAATACAGCTCTGGTTTCGTCTGTGAACACAAGTGGAAGACAATCAACCATGATGGCCTGAGGTTATAGTCCTGGCTAAACTAGTTAAAATATAATAGTCAAGTGCTATTAGACTGGTTTCTTGCCTATTTCCAATATTTATTACTTTTTAGGGGGAAAAGAAGAGCTTGAATTTGCGATCCAAAATTGGGTGGTCTTATAATGGAAGATTGAGACAAGAAATATATGGTACTGTGTAATCAGCTAAAACGGCCATATGTGGGTTGAGTTTGTTGTTGGTTCTCTCCTTTACTCAGAGAGGTTTTTCAGGTTTTCCCTCCAATCAAAAACCAACACTTCCGAATTCCGATTCGATCAGAAATCAGATAGGCGAAGAACCATTAAGTGAATGTGCTGCCTCTAAACCGTTACTTATTTATTTTAAAGTTAGATTCAACTTAAATTGAGCAGCGCGTAAAAAGCTCCCCACGATTTGAATAGGGTTTAAAAGCTCTGAGCAATTTTTACTCATCTTAGCATTTAACTGTAATGACTGATTTAACTCAACTGTATCTTAAGTTTCATACCACGTTTCCTTTGATCCTTATTGCATATTTTTTGTATCCTGTCAGCTCGTAGGTAAAGTGATAGCCATAAAGAGTAAAGCTGAACACTGGTCCTGTCCACAAAATTTTCACGGAGAATGTGCTATTTCCTTCTTCTTGTACAAATTCGCCGACTTCTATATTTCGTACCTTGACATAGTTGTCCGGTGGAACTAAAAGCACGGAAGAATAGAAGTACTTGTATTAGGGAAATAATTTCTAGAATAATAGCCGCCACCCATGCCCCATGCAATTATTGTGCTCAGCAGATGCCCACCTAATCTTCCAGGAGAGAATAACTCCATTATAAATTCTCCGCCGCCTAGGTACCAGTTAACGACGTATTTATCTTAAGATGTTATTTGAATTTAAATATTTTCATTGATATAGGTGGTTTTCAAGCAATCTCGAGAGACACAAATAACAATGGTGAAATGAACAAATGCTGGTGGACAAACAAAGCCAGCTAATGAACGATCTTTTGTTTACCGTCCACCAGCATGGCGGCGATGACGTAACGTGAAAACCACATATTTATGGCCTTGCCCTCAAGACTGATTTTTTTCTTTATTTTTAAAAGAAAGTTAAATGGTAATTCCGCCCTAAAGGTTAATCGCTAATATAAAGAGTTAGCCAGGGCTAAAAGCAAAGCTCTCGATAATATTTATAGTTTGATCAAACAAAATATAAAATCAAGTAATGCTAAGCGGCAAAAGGTAACGAGAACGGTGAAAAAACAGCAATAGGTCTAAGTCAACTTTGCTCGTGCAGCACACTTTTTTTGTAAATTCCTTTTGCACGACTACAACGTGAAACTTCCAGAAACGGCCTGGTTACACGTTTTATGGAGGAAAAGTAAGTCGTACGTGTTCTTTCACGTCGCTCACATGATTTTCACCCTGGTGGACGCAAGCACTTTTCATTTTCTCACCGCCGTTACAAAATTTCATGTTGCTCCTCCTACGAACAAAGTCTCCTTTGCTTTTCTCTCTCGCTCTAGCTCTTTTTCTCCTAGAGCTTCGCTGGCCTGTCGCCCTACTTTCTCTTTTCTCTGTCTTCCTCCTTCTCTATATTCCAAATTTGTGGACATGACAATTAATCTAAGCTTAGTGCAACACGGATACACGCTTTCCGTTTTCGTCTTTATTGACTCTTTAGTTGTATTTGCTTCACAAAACGCGGGTGGACGCTCGCGCCAAAATAACCTGACATTTGACATCAGCTTACATGTAGTGGGTGTAGGGACGGTCGGCGTTCGGGTGTACGCTACGTCATAACCAAAATTTTCTTTCTTGCATGGGTTTCCAATTTGTCTTACCCATGGTGCTTCGCTATCAAAATTAGGACAGGTCTTAGAGTTAGGGTGCCGAACACTATGGACGAGCTCCGCAGATAAAACAGGATCAGTACTTGCATTATTACTTTTACATGTAAAAACGCTTTAATTTATCATCTGGGAAGCGTTTTGAGCTTTGTCATTGATACCTTCAATCGTTGTCTTCCCAAGTTGTTCGTTTCCTTCCAACCACGCAAATTCGTATTTGGGAGTAACCTGAATGAAAACCAGTATGTTGTTGTTTAATTTTATTTCACTAAACAGTCCGAAAAAACTAAAAACTCTTTACATGTTGAAAGACTTCAACATAAACCCTCTAAATACAGCAACATGCTAAAACACCAACGATTCCTCGCTTGGTTCACATTATATTTAGCTATTCGAATTATTTTGAATAAATGATAAAACAATTATTGAATTCGGCTTTCGTATCATATGAAGAATTGTGAAGATCTCGATCTCCATAATTCTTCATAAGATACTCTGCCTCATTCATTATCCGAACTGATTTAAAGGAACATCTTACCCCGTAAGTAAATTGCTCGCCATGCATCACCTCCGGAATAATGAAGTAAGTTTTTTTCTAAGAGAAAAGGTGACCATAAAGGTTTATAGGATATATTACATATTGCTGTCCTTTTCCACACACTAAAATTCTCGAAAGCATACTCTTTTTTACCAATACGGACATGCATGTTTTTAACTCATGTATGCTTCATTTAGAAGTGCCACTGCTAAAAACGGCAAAATACCAACCCCCACCCGGATAGCAAATTTTTTGTTGACCTCAATGGACTGGGAATTCTACGCGACGCTCAATGAACTTCCTTCTGCTCTAAATAAAAGAAAAAGTAAAAAATAAAAAAGTACAGGAGACGCAAAATGAGGATGAGGAAGTTAACCCCAACAGTTTAACGTTACCATCTAATGTGCCATCATTATAACAGTGAAGGTATTTTTCAAAATGGTTAGTTTTTGACCCCGGAAGTTAACCTTAGGAGGCAACCATTCTATGTTACAGTTATACGGTGTTTAGATTACGCTCATTTCAAATACTGTTTTCATTCAGCGAAAATAAATAAAATTAATTTAAAATACTTACAGTTTCGTTCACAACCGGTTCGCGGTTGCCAACTTTGAAAGTAACCTGATATCCTGACAGCCTCCTGTTAAAAATTGGTCCATCCCAAGAAATGTTTACATCAAAGCTATTCCCTTTTGGCGAAGGGTTCAATTGGTTTTCTTTAAAATGAACGTATAGTTCGTTCTGATTGATGTCTAAAAAGAGGGAATTGTAGTTAGATTGATGTCAAATTAATTATCAAGGTGTTTTTTCTCTAACCTCAGTTACAACGATCTCTTGCCCTACAGGCGTGAAAAACCTGCTCATTCCTATCACTAAGATGTATTATTCGGAATGGCCGTTATTTCATATAGTTAAACTAGTGAAAGAAGGTTTTTGTGGAAACAAAGACTCGTTTTTTTTTTCCTCTTTAAAAGTCTGGGCGGCCATGTTGATTTACCGCCGAAACGAGCGGGGTGCTTAAAATGAAAAATTTAACCTCAACTATAACATACTCCTCCCTCGACGGGCTGACTGCTGACTCCTGACTCCCTCTCCCAGAGTCTGTACGGTCAGCGTTCGGTTGTAGGCTGACGTCATAACCAAATTTTCTCGGATGGATGCATGGATTACCAAATTTTCTTTGCTATGGGGCTCCGCTCGCGCTTCGAGCGCGCGTGGAGCTTTGCTATAAAGGCCGAAAACTAAAGGTGAGTCTGAATTCCGGTGAATTGTACATACTTCAAAATGATATTCGCCGCCTGCAGCTGTAAGAAAGCTTTCTTTGATTTCCAATTCCAAGTGTGGAACCGTCGAACGAAGGAGGATGACTTTGAATAATAATTAAGACTTCAGCTTAATTTTAATGGATTTACTCTAGGGTCAAATATGTACTATTTGGACGTTTATCTTTAAGGTCACCTTAATAGTTTTGAAAAGTACGCACGGACCGGGGTTTTTTGTCTCCTAGACCAGGGTTGCTAAAATTACAAAAGATCCAAACACGAAAATTTAAGTTTCTTTCAATGTCAGCTTTGACAGTGTAAAACGCAAAACAGAGTCTCAATGATATTGATTAACACCTTTTTTTTTTTTAGTTATGAACGTACCAAGTCAGCGTTTCTGATATGTAGACTTGACCTATTAGAATGCAGCCCCCCAGTTGTCCACTCCAATTCACCTTTTGAAAGGGTCGCTGGAAAAGGGAAATCTGTTGAACCACATTGCAAACATTCATGAGAATGTGACCTAGTTCCAGTCTTCTTTAGAAATCTGACGCCATCTTGAATGAATTATATGGCAGAAGCTCCTGCCTTTTCCCTCTTCCCATCGTCCCCCGTGCGCTTTTTATTTTTCGATTATTGCTACTTTTATTGGGATACCCTGCGGGATAGTCTTCGGAGGAGAGGGGTAGGTACATGTAACAGCTAAAGTCCTGTCTCAAGTCGGTTAAAATTTCACTAACCAGGTATTGTAAAGTTTATGTCCCTCTTCTCTGACTTAGGTAAAAGGCCTTTGAACAGCGGTTCGACCTAAACAGAATCATTAATTTCGGGTCAGATACACATATTACAAAATCCGGGCAAAACGTTGGCTCGTTTATTCGGTGATGTTTCGACAGTTGAAACTCTTTGACGTCCGCTTTACTCGTTTTTGTTCCACATTATTTTTCCTATTAACATGGCAATAAGCAAAATTAACGAGGGTAGATCTTCCAGAGGTACCTCATTTAGCAAATTTTGACCAATCTGAAAGAGTTACAGACAAAAAAACTAGCAACAATTGGGGAAAAAATAACCACTGCTAATTTTGCCATTTACCTACTACTCTTTACAGCTGAAATTTTTCCCTTTGTTAGAAAGAAAGCCAGCCAAAATTCCATGCGAAAGAAAGTCGATGAAGTGGGAAACACAATTGGCTATATAGAAAAATGAAAAAATAGCCTCATCTTTCTCTCTGACCGCACAAAAAATCCAGCGGTCAAGCGTCAAACATTAAATGACGAATGAATTGTTGAAGATAACAAGTCAAGAGCAGCCAATAATTTATTTAGACGCGTGTCCCTTAGGATGCCATCCGGCACAATTACAGTAAAATTAAAATACATATGTGCTACCACAAGCAAACACGTTTTTTAGCAGTACCTACTCTACATTGCGATAGAAGGGATCATTGTACTTAAAATACTTACTTCAATTTTGTACGTCATTTTAGGTGTAAGGTACATAAATGAAATAAACGGATCCTCCTGCAAGTAAATGTAGAAGCATTAGATTTCCGTGATTTACCATGCTACTCAGGTGTAGCTTGGCTAGAAAAATCAGGCAAAGACAAATAGAACAACTTGCAGTAGTTCAGTAAAGCATGTGGCAGAGGTGTCACATGTTGAGGACTGAATCATTATTCTACAATCATGGACAAAAGTCTTGGGACACTTTTGCATTTCTTGGGCGTTTCCCAATTCACACAGGCCCAACCGGACACGTGGGACGCGTGTATCCAGAATTTTTTCTGAGTTTCAAGTTTTTGTAGTGTGGGGGAGGGAGAATTGCAAGAAAGTTTCGAAAAGGATGCACTGTTTTAAGAGGGAACCGAGAAATAACAGGAAAATATGAACATTGCAGTACTGTCCCAAGGACTTTTGTCCAGGATTGTAGAAATTGTAACACCACGTAGGATGGAACAAGCCAGTTCGGTGGAGTCAAAGCAGGATATAGTTGCAGGTCGACTGAACCGCGCCACGCACACTAATAGGAAGTACGAAAGATAATCAGCAGCGGATGTTACAATTAACATCTGGGTCTAGTTTCTGAAACAGAAAAAAATAACAAAACAAACAAAAAAAAAAGACACCAGAACCTAGACTGGTGATACAACCAACTTACCTGTGGCCCAGACCTAATGTAGTCGAGACTTATTTCCCCAGAGCAGCTGTTATTTTTGTACATGAACAACGTGACAAGGTATAGAACCACTTTTTTGTAATGATAAGCAGGTGGGTCCCAGTTTATAGTCAAATTAAATGGATAATCATCTTCTGCAGTTAATGGAATAGCACTTGAGATATTTCTGACTACCCTGTCTTCTATTGGTGCCTCTGGAGGATGGACTGAAATAAATAAATATATATAAATAAAAAATTGGCTAGTTAGAAAAACTCATGGAGATATGAATTATTAAGTCGCGAATGAATGGATCAGTGACTAATACCTCTAACTTAGCATACAAATTCCCTCGTAATATTGATTTTTAGGCACTTTTCGCACTACGCAAAATTTTGTTTATATTTCCAATAAATCTTTCAACAGGAAGCCATTTCTAGTGTGAACCATTTTTTCACCTATCAAAACTTTCTCAACAGTCACCAAACTTCAAAGGTACAATCTAGAATATTTGGAGGCCTACAATTTTTTGCCTGGCGTCAAAATCCTTTGCTCTTTGAGATGTAACCTTCGTCGGGTCGTCTTTTTTCGCGAACATGGCCAATTAAAGTTCCTTTAATTGACGATTCTGGTCATACCAGAACCAAAACCAGGTGAAGTTATAAATCAAGATCTTGCACATTACTTTCTGTACAATAAAAGGCCATAAACACTAAAACTGCTAACCCAATGGTATATCAAATATAGACAAATCTAAGCAGTTTCTCTCTCAAGAAGCTGTTATTATATAAATTCGTACGAAAACAAAGGGTTTGGAATGGTGCTGGGATACTGATAGTTGCAGTGTGTTTGATTATGGGTCATGTGCAACTCTATATGCAACAGACTTATTTTTAAATGGTACAAGTGTTGTTTCAAGGATGGGTCAAATATTCTGCATGTAATCGTGACCTTTATTCCGGCTGTTTTTTATTTTGTTTAGATGTTGCTGCAGTACATGTACTTACAAGATAACTGGATGACTGAAGCAACAACAGTAGCCAAAGGTAAGATTTACATTTAACTTGTAACTGTGACACAACAACTTAAGTTTCCACTTAAATGATTTGTCTACATCTCGAATAGCGTAGATAACCAGGCTTTCTCTATATTCCGTTTAAGGCTGGTATAGCTTGTTTTTCAAAGATATGCTGGGAACCAGGATTTACTGGATTTGTCAAGAGTACCCTAATTAACCAGGCTTTTGCTCAGTTGGTTCAAGCTTGGTTAAACCCTGATTAATTCAGTGCTTTGAACAAGAGCCACAATTGCAGGTTTAGCCTGGTTTTCCTGTTTTTTAAATGAAAAACCAGGTTAGCTAGAAAAAACCTGGTATACCAGGATATCCCGGTTCATTCATTTACTTTAAGAGCCTGCTAAAGCCTCAATTACCAAGCTTGCTAAGCTACCTTGCAAGAATACCCTGGTTAATCTGGCTCTTTGCACATTTGGTTCAAGCCTGGTAAGTCTAACTTAAGTCAGAATTTCAAGAGCCTGGTTCAAGTCTGGTTTACGTGGTTTGAATTATAACAAGGTTTGCCAAGCTTACCAGGAAAACCCGTGGTTAACCAGGCTTTTTGCACCTATGGTTCGAGCCTGGTAAACCTGGTTCATTTAACACTTTAAGACCCTGGTTAAAGCCGGGTTTTCCTGGTTCTTAGAATAACCAGGCTTACCAGGAATACCCTGGTTAACAGCGCTTTTTGCACATATGGTAAAGTCTGGTAAGCCAGGCCCTACAACCAGAAAAGTCTGGTTGGTTCAATCAGGCTTGCACCCTGGTAAGCCATGGTTTAACCAGGCTTTTGACGCACGGGTCTATCTGATCTTAGAGTATACCGAAAAAGACGACAATCTACGTCTTTCATTAGCAATTTTATTAAAAGGTTGGACTGTCAGCCTTTTCGCCATCCTGTACTAAATGTCAGTACAAAGTTTTATCAAAGCAATCGGGTTTAAAAAATAAACTTACACTTGTAGCACTTATCTTTGGGGAAATCTGTGGTATTTTCGCATCCTATAATAAAGAAAGATAAAAAATGAAGATATTACGCATAATGATAGTATTTTTTTTTTTGCTGTTTTTTATCTATTTGTCTGTAGTGGAATTTTATTTACACTTAGTTGACGTGTTAATTACTTTGCTTCGCTTTTACAAATTTCTCTAGTTTGACCCGAGTTGACATTGTTGCACAAACCAATTACTACTGCGTATCAAATAATTTACCATGTGACGATTACATACAATGTTTACATATATTAAGTAAAGTAACATTCCCTCAATAAGCCTATTCGTTCGAGGCTTCTAACAACTCTGGGTGCCTTTTAAATTCTTTTATTATGGTTTCCATGATACCACAAAAAGCTAAGTTCTCGATTTTTATGCAAAACTGATTAAACGCTTTAAATTTTTCTGCATGGGAAAAAAATAATTGCAAAGTATGCAGTTTTTGTATAGCTTTGAGGGTAAGCACTCCGAGGCTTTATTTGGAGTTTTATAGATCATTCAGAATAAAATGAAATTAATAAAGGATGAGGTCAAAATAAGAAAACAAAATTGAAATCTGCAATATCCGTGTCTACATATGTACATACCTGGATATTCAAATGTGAGTGTAGTTCCGGCACTTACCAAACAGCTATTTAAGGCGTATATCTAACAAAACGTATTGCAATAACTAATAAGTTCTTATTTTCATAAGGAACAGTTTGCAGATGCCCACGAGCCAATTATCATGCAGTATTAGAAAAAATGATTTCAAAATATTACTTATCTTTACCCTCGGACGTATACGTAAAATTCGTACCCCCACAGTGGTACAAAGGTGGTTGATAGAACCCTTCCCTAGAGATTTTGTTATGTTGCAGTTTTTCAAAACGTTTTTGCCTTCGTTTTTGCCTTCTTATTGATCTTCTCAATAAGAAAAGGTTTATTTTATGGGTAGTAGCGCTGCCAGAGGCCTGTGACGTCACCAACAATGGTCGCAATCTTGGATTTATACCAAGAATTAGAAAGTGCATTAGACAAGTTGTATTTAGCTTCCAGGCGTTGAAATAATTCTTATTTCTGCGTGACGTCATTCCTGTTTTAAATTTTTACAGCGACGAGACGAAATTTGAAGTAATTGCCAAAGGGCGAAATACGGTTGTGGCTGCTAGCCAGCCCAGGCCCGCGCGGTAGGATAGATTTTCGCGCTCTTTTGGTCTGGTGATCAGCCTATAGTTTTGAAATGCATGATCGTTAGCTCGGCAGTGGAAATTGTCTCTTTCGCTTGTTCGGTAATGGAGTTGGTTTTTAAGGATAGAATCTTATAGGCTCACAAGTTTTACGTCTACTTTGCCAACTTGCCAGTAAAACAAGCCTCTTGTTTAGAATCCACCGTATCAACGGTTGATACGGAAATTATATCCTTTTCAGATTTATTCCATTTTTTCTTTTCTACTGGTTGAATAAATTAACCTTTTGATCTGGCGTCATTCCTCTCTTTTCTTTAGAATGTGAGAAGAAAATGTTCCTTCTTTTTCCTCCTAGGTTACATTGTAAGAGTGGCAGCCCATTCTTGTTCCAATGTCAAACTAAGATACATTCCATTCCTCAGTTTTTCACAGGATCATTTGCGGTACTGTATATACCGCCAAAACAGCCCCAAAAGCAGTCAAAATAACGCCACTAACCCTAACCATAACATATCCTTAACCTTAGCCCTGATCCTGAGCCTAAATTTAACCCGTACCCTTAATCCTAACCCTATCCCTAAGAAAGCATTGTTCAGCAAAAAGATAGACCCCGACCCCGCCCACGGTCCCGACCCCGCGTTTACTCACACCTCTGCTTAATGGAGGTTCAACGTACTGGAGCTCGAAATCCCATGCACTGTTGAAAGCCAAGGCCAAGATAGTTCAATTCGCAACTCTCTTTTCTTTTCATTTTTCATTTTTGCCTGACAATCAATTATCGCAATAAGTTGTATCCAGATACAAATAATAAGCCTTACCGATAGTAAATTCTTGCTGCATTTTTTAATTTTTTCATCAATGTATAAAATCTCACTTGTATTAGGCTGCAACCAGAAAATCATTATAGCGTTAAAATAAAACTGTGTTATCTACAAAACCATTTTGTTACGTACCTGACGGCCCTGAATTTGTTCCACAAATCACTTATATTATGTAACTAATTTACACTATTTCATTAAGTTGTACCTACCCCGCCCGTTAGTTTTGTTTTTGGCCGACGGAGAAAAGAACAGTAGTCGGTCCAGACAACAGCGTAGTTTGAAACAACTTGTTCATTATGTTCTGTTTATGAGCAAAACAAAGAAGAAGAAAAAATAAAGTCATGAGTTTATCATGAGGTGCCGAGGTTAAACCGTTGTGATCTAAAAATACGTCAGTAGAAGTACCCCTACCGTGGAATAAGACCACATTTCGGGTGAAAAAAAAAACAAAACAACAACAACAACAACAACACTGCTCGATCAATCTTAATTTTTTAAAGTTTAAAAGCAATACCATAACATTCCGTTACGGCAGCTGTTTTTTCAACTGGCTGATTATTTGCAGTTACAGTCACTCGCATAGCCAGTTCCAGGCGTTCAGAGATAAGATGTTGGGAAGCCATTTAAAGGGTACGTGGGGGAAAACAGGGAAAATGAGGCGTGAATGGGGCGAGAGCGAGGGAAGGTTCCCCGGCTCCCAAACATACATCTCCAAAAGAAATAAACCGTTTTTCATCGCTGACATTTTCATTTAGGGAAGGTTCTAAATCCCTAATAAACAGTTTTTTTTATCTTGCAACGAGTGTCCGACCGTCCACTTGCCAAAATGTGTTAGTTTTGTTGCTCACAGCCAGTTTAACTTTTTTCCTCCTTAATTTTTTGCGCTCTACTATCTTAACCCCTGGAACCAGGCCGTGATCGCTCACATTGACAGAAGGTAAGGACCAAAGAATAACTGGAAAGTGAGTCTTAACTGGTTCTTTTAATTCGCATATTTAATCAATTTTATTTGTTCTATCGATATGGTCTAGGTTTTCCAGACAGACCCTCTCTGAAACGTTCGAACTAAACTGAATGAATTGAGCAAAGAAAGCAAATAAAGGTACTTCAACGTTGCAGGTCTGTTACTATAATTAACATTCTTTTGAAGAACGGAGAGCTGGATGTTGCATTTACTCTTTACATGTGCTTATGTCATATGATGTTCGCGTTCTGTTGCTAAATCAGCCTAATATATGATGCTTGCTACTTACCTCGTGGCTGCTTCCAAGCCGCTGTCAGCTTCAGTTTGCCAAACTGGCCAACAGCTGGATTGGCAACATATACAATACTGTTGATGGTTATATTGCTAACTGATACGGGCACAAGTGGTACTAAAAGATAAAATGAAATAAATTTCTAACAATGTACTCTAATTAATGAAAAAGCTTCTTCCCCTTATAAGAATATCTTAATAGGTTGTATAGTGGGTTCATCCGCATTCTGAGATTCTACGCGGCTTTCATGCACGGCCAGAGCAACAACAAAAGTCAATGTTTGTGGAGAACGTTGATCTGTATGTAAGAGATAAGTACCGAGAACGGAGATATTAATCCGAACTAAAGTCGAGCCAGCTTAGCACGGCAGTGGCACGACGTTTGAAACAGCCGAAGGTGTTAATTTGTGAAATTATGGGATTTGTAAGGATATTCTGAAAAGAGCAACCGAGATGTTAGCTCAGTTATGCTATGATGACTCCATACAAACTCATCTAAATTTGACTTGGGTCTAAACGTTTATGAGTAACAAGTCTAACCAAACAAACAGTGAAAAAGAATTCTCTATTCTTTTTTTTTACACCAGGCTTCAAAAATAGCATAACAGTCCTATGCACTGATTAAAGATATGTAAGGCATGGGTAAGGAGTCAATTACGTTGAGCATGGAATTGCCTAAAACTCAATCTTACGAGTTCGAATGTTTTGAGGATAATTTTTCACTGACTATTAGCACGCAGGGATGTCGGATTAACACAAGGAAGTTTAATACCGGAGGAACATGGTCTTTACAGAGCTATAAAACACATCATCCGCAGTGGCGCCGTGGGCTAATCCTTGAACTTAGAGTCTCCTTTTATCTGACGGGTCACACAGGTGAGTAGGTTCAAACCCCCGGAAAGCCGTGAATAATTAGTCTTTCTTCCCCAACTAGGTTAAAGAATAAATCAATGAAATCGAAGTGAACTAATTCAGTTCTCACTTCGTCAAATAGTCGAATAAAACGGAAAACCCACAGACTTTGCGTGCTCAATCTTGTCACAAATAAAGCAACTTTGGGTCATTCCTGAGCGTCGCGAATCCTTTACTTCGCGCTCCGCCGAAGTAAAAAAGGATGAAAGTTACTCCTCAAGGGAGTTTGCTTTGTATTTTTTTGTTTCTTTGTTCAGTTGTTTTGACCATTTTATCGGTGTGTTCTATTATTTAGTAGGTCGGTCCATGCTTTCATGTTATCATGGAGTTCATGGACAGCAACGAAGAGCTTTTGATTTTTTTTGTTGATTTGTTTTTTCAAATAATAATAATTTACAGTTTTTGACGTCTAAAATCGAGCGCGTATTAGGGAAAAAAAAAAAACAGATCGCCAGGTCTGTACTTTTTACCAATCGCTTAACGAGCGAGAAATCGCTTACTTAATGTGAAGAAATTCATATCTTCTTCAACATACTTACTTAGGTTGTCAGTTGTTTTTGTCCCATAGCTGATAGATGAATTCTCTGTAAGGACTGCTACATGGTATTTGAAGTGTATACCATTGAAAGATTGGCGAGGAAAACGTGACCCGACTCTTGCGCACAGTGATGACGTACTGATAGTAATGCGAGGAACTAATAATACCTAAAGATGAGATTTGGTAAAATAAGAACGTCAGGAAGAACAGAAAAGATATTAACCTTTAAGAACCATATAATGGCTCAAGGCTACTCGTCTATAATAATAACTAGTAATAACCAAAGGTTAGGGATTGCGGGCGACGATCGAAGGTCCAAACGCTTTTACTCCAACGTTGTGCTTTGCGTAAATTTCACGTGACAGTTGGTCAAAACACGCGTGATAAGATGACAAGGGGTAGAAGCTCAAAACACGCGTGATCAAGTTAGGTTCTGTGCATTCCTGTTCATTCTTAGTGGTAGCGCATAGAAATGCTGGCTACATACATGCGACGCATGGGAAATAACGACCTGGACATTATGACTGCGGGCTCCTCTTATAGCCCGCAATAACTTTATCCCTTTCCACGGATGGCTTTTCAAAGTAATTACATCAATATCAAATACATGTATCATCAATATCAGTACTATAAATATATAAAACATTAAAAAATAAAACTATAAAAATATATAACAGTAACATAGCCTCTGATTCTCTCCGTTGCAAAGACAAAAGTAATATAAGCAACCTTGTCTCAAAAATAGACTGCTTACTAAGGGTTTTAAATAACGCATAAATTCCTTATTGACGAGTGCCAATTAAGAGCAATTTCGTTTTATCAAGGTTGATCAGAAGGCTAAACGGACAGCACCACAAGGCAACTTTCTTTAGGTCTTCGGTTATTTGTCGAACAGCGCTGTCAATTTCCTTGACTGGGAATGATAGATGTAATTTGGAATCATCTACGAAGGATCGTAAGGAACAATAATCTGGAACGCCAGGCAAATAGTTGATGAACACGTTAAATAAGGCCGGTTTCAGAATGGATCCTTGTGGAACTCCGTGTGTAGATTTACGTATTCCGGACATTTGAGAGCCAATTCGTAGGTACTGCTGGCGATCATGCATGTAGCTCCTAAAACATGCTAGCGCTGAACTAGAATAGCGACTGTTATGACTTCAGGCAGTAAAACTGTGGTAACTCCCCAATTTCTCAAACATAAGTTGTTTTTTTAAAGCAGTTGTATTTAGTACTCGCACGCTGTGGTATGGATTGAGGAAATTAAATAAAAATAAATGAGAATAAATAAATTGACAGGTTGGCCTGCTAAATTTCAAGAAAAATGATACTCTGAATAGGGTTCGCACCGTGTTAATGAAGTATGGTGATTTTAAGGAATCCCCATTAAACTCCACTGCAATCAAATACACAGAGGTACCATTTGTAGTATTCACAGGCTCCCATTGTAAGGTTATTGAAGTGAAAGTCCTGTTTCTTAATGTTGGTGTGCCTGGGATTGGTGGTTTGGATCCATCGCCATTTCTTATTGACGAGAGTGTATTTAAATATTTCAGAAACCAACAGCTTGCTTCACAACTGCTAGAATTAGTCTGCAAAAAAAGAAGCAAAGCAACTAAACAAACGCTCATTATAAAAAATATACACACAATTAAAACAAAACTGAATGCAATTAAGGGCTAGCAATTAAGACAAAGAGCTGATTTTATTTTCTTATTTGAGGCCAATAATTAGACTAATAAAACTGGCCAGAGCTACACTGAAAGAAATTTGAAGCGATTGACTGGGTACAGTTCAACGTTCTTCCCTTCCGTTTAGACCGTCTAGAAAGGGTTCTGCCTCCAACAAGGTAAGCTGGGCGGTTTCAAAATGATAAATTTTTGTTAACATTTTACTTACACACTCCTTGATGCAAATTGATTCATTTTTGAAAGTCTTTTCACACGGTGATAAGCACTGAAAAAAAGAAGGTTCCCAGATACATTACATGCTGCAAGTTACCAGCTTCATCGATTTCTTAACATCATCATCACCATCATCATCATCATCATCTTCATCACTTTTATTTACACAAAGTAAAAACACCGGGCTAATATACAATATCCTAAAATATTACAAACTCTTGAATTAACAGTAATAGCAATTACAAAAATGACTGTTCATATAAATAAATAAATAAATAAATAAATAAATAAATAGTTGAATAAATAAAATTATTAAATTAAGGTCTGTTTTCCATGAACGCAGTGTTCGAGCTAGAAGTTAACAGTTTCCGAAACCTAGTCGGAGATTTTACTTTATTGTCTTGCATTAGAGGGGAAGTTGTTCCATAGAAACGCCCCGCTGTAGCAGAAGCTATAATTGATTCGTGGCAAGGGAACAGCAAGCTTATTAAGGTAGTAGGGATTAAATATATCGCTGCGTAGTTTAAATCTACAAAGCAATGATTCAACCTGTTTTTACGTATTGTGAAACTTTGGGTCTCTGTTGGTCACGTTCCCGTAAGAGTCATTAACTTTCGTAACTTGCAGCTTCAGTCTTTCAGTAACCACCTTTAATAGTTCAGGTCTGTCACCTCTCAAATTATTTCTCTGTCAGGACGGTCGAACACAAACTAACAGAAGTCCTATTGCAGACATGGGCTTTTAAAGGATATTTTACAAAATTAAACACAACAGTAACACTAGAAACAATGGGTGTGCACTAAAACTTCCCAAAGCCAGACTAGAATTTGGACGGAGAAGTTTTGCCTTTCAAGGGACTCTAGTTTATAATACTTTACCTCGGTATTTAAGAAATTTAAATTCTAGGTTTCTTTTTAAGAGTAATTAAAAACAATTGTTTCAATAGTATTCCATAATTCACAACTCTTTTCAGTCTTGTAAGTCGATGATTTTTACAGATTTTGATTTTTAAATCTTAGATTTCCTAGGGTTATTTTATTTTATTTTCCTTTATCGATTATATTTTTTATTTTTTAGCTATTTATGAGATAATTACAGGACCCCTTTGATAACAGTTCTTTTTATTAGACCTGATAGGTTATCCTGTATAAATATTCGCGTTATTATTATTATTATTGACCGGTTATCAGGTGCAAGGCAATTCAAAGATTTAATATACACCATCACAGCCTTATGAATTAGCCACTGAGTTTCAAGGTTCTACCACCCCAAGTCATTTAAATGTTTTCTCGCATCTGCATCATAATTGGAGTTTTTGAGAACGTTCGGCACGGTTCTGGAGCCGCTGCAATTTATCGCGCAAAACTTAACAACTGCTACCCCATACCACGCTGCATAGTCAAAGTGTAATTGGAGAAGGCCATAATATACATCATGCAAGGCGGTAGGGGGCAAGCAATGATTGATATGTTTTATAGCTCCAATACCAGATGCAGTTTTCCTATGTAAGATTTTCATCATAATGGTCATTAAAGGGACACAGTCAGCTGATGCACATGCGCATTAGATTGCATGAGGAGCCGCGTAAAGTCCCTTTTCTAATTATCTTGAGTGACGGTTGCTATACTCAATTTCCTGTTAGAATTTTACCTCCGACCTCGTGCATGTTAGCAGGGGTCAGATTAGCTGTCATCGGTAGTGATCTTCACAGAGGCGATGAAACAATTCTAAATTTCGCAACTGTCTGTTAATATGGTTAAAACAATACAAGGTGGGGTAAATACATGTAAATAAAGTCGAGCGCGGTCTTTTCAACTATTCTCCGGATCGGATCAGCCCGATCAAGCCACCTTGTATGGAGTATATGTGGGTTACTTTTTGCCGTTTCCTGGTCGAGAATTTCTGTGTTAATTCGCGATCAAAATCGCTTCCCTTAGAAGCGATTGGTATTTCAAGAACATTTAAACAGATCGGAAAGGTTAGGAGAATTCAAGCTTCTCTTCTGAAAACCGGAGATGGCCAGCCTTCCTTCTTCACGTTGGTTCAAATGCGAGGCCAATTCAGCCTTAGATCAGTAGGTTTTCCTTGCGACACATTAATTCTGGTTTGTATAATGACTTGATTAATCGCAAGACTCCTTGAAGGTAAGCACAGTGTTCGATTTATTTATTTCTGCTTCGAACATATCCGCGCCAAAACCTCCTAAATGCCCGCCAAATTTAATGTGGCGCTCCCGATCGTACAGATCGTGTTTAGGAAGAAACAGGCCCAGCACAACTTCCACTGGAGGCAATTTTGTGTACAAAAAGTACCCTATTAAATTAGTCGACAAGCTCTATTAATTTCGTGCTACATTTTCTTGATAAACAAAGGAATGTGTTGAAAATTATAGACGTCCGTGTTTTATAATACACATACACACGTAGTGGCCAAATTGCTATATCTCTGATCTTTTTTCAACTGTTTTGCTTGTTGCCGATGTTTAAATGCTTCATCATGATCCAGTGCGATTTATAGTTGTCACTTCATGCTCAGATCCTTGTTTCAATTAATGAGAAAATTATCTTACAGTTAAAACACTCTTTGCACAATAAGGCCAGAAATTATCGCGTAATATTGCGTTGTTGCATGCGTTCTCAACACAGCCGAACGGAGCTCTGCCTACGAAAATAATCGTTTTCTTAGTATCGAATAGGCGGATATGACTCCCACTGGTAGCAAATTGTGCTACAAAGCCATTAATAAGAGCTATTCCATGCAAGTATAAACCTCATAAAAGCTTTTTATTTTGATCAAAAATGAAATGAAACGCGTTAAAAATATCAGACGCTCGTGTTACCCATACCCCTACCGACCTACCTAAGGTACTTCACAGATAGGTGGCTGAGTGTTAAATTTGCTCGTTATTTGTAAGGCCCTAAATCTAAGTAGCTTTCTTTTTCTTTTAAAATGATTTACGGAGGAATCGAAATGAGTTTTGGTTGATTGGTTGTGTCCATCGCGGTTCACCCCTATTTTTTTTTTTTTAAATAAAATACGACTGCGCAAACGCTCTCTATTATTTATCACGAGCAGAGAGCTTTGATATAATTCACCAAAAACAAATTCATGAACATGGTTCAGGGTATTCTGTACGTGCTTTTATGTTGGGTGTGTCGCCTGATTAAAAGCGAGCGATCGGGTGAGTCGCCTTCGCTTAGTGCAAGAAGACTTTTTAAAACGTGTATATTAAATGAATCTTTCTGTAAAAAAACGAGGCCTTAGGAAAGTTTATAAGGTAAAATCGTCTTGGAAAACGGTTTGCAAATATATTTTTCTTTTGTTTGGGACTTGCTAAGATTGTATTGAGTCAACTAGACGCTCAGAATTCGTAATTGAACTTATTATTTGAGTGATTCAAAACAAAGCTAAACAACGACCAAAGTTCCGTCTGCACGTGCTCTTCTGGGTGAGTCGCCTGAAAAAGCAAGCGATCGGGTGTGTCGCCTTCGCTTAGTGCAAGGGAACTTGCTTGGTTATGGCTCGTGAAAAATAATAGAGACCGTTCGTGCAATGGTATTTTATTAAAAAACTAATAGGGGGAACCGCGATGGACGCAACCAATCAACCAAAATTCATTTCGATTCCCCCGTAAAATTTTTTTAAAAGAAAAAGAAAACTACTTAGATTTAGAAATATAAATTTCGGGGGAGCAGAATTAAAAGCGGGACTATTCCCTTCTTTGAGAAAAGGCCGGTGAAGTCTCCTATTTAAATTCTGCTCTCCAGAGAAAGCTACTGTAAAAACTATTTGAATTTATAGTTAATGTAAATTCTATTAAATTTAAATCGCTGCACTTCGTTCATCTTCGGTAAATAAATGCATATTGATTCTGAGGTATCCCCTGTTTGTTGCAAAACTCCTCTACACCACCACAAGTTTTCCAACTGATGCACCGTTTTTGAGCGATTTTCATTCTATCAGGTTCTATTTTTGAGTTGTGTTCGTCTCATCAGCTTTTTAGTAGTGTGTGGTAAAATGAGCGGTTGAAAGATATGTCGGAAAAAGCTTCACAGGAGGCCACGAAAGGAGATTCGCATTTCAGCTCAAGTATGGTTTCAAGCTGTCAACGGTCTATGCTTGGCTGAATTCATCTTCCCCCATATTTCGGTCGCTAAGGCTTGCGGCTCGCCATGCACAAGACGCGCGTGAAACAAAAGCGTATCTGGAATACTCTAAACAAACCTTGTAGAGTTGAACTAGTTACAAGCCGAAATCGTGATTATCGGCCCTAAGCCACATCAGAGGACTCATTTTTTATATACCATTGAGAATTCAACGATGGATTTTTCCAGGGAAAGGCAAACATCGACGAATACTTCCGAATTCGAACATCAGTAGAGGTGAGAAATTGCACGAAGCCTGAATGATTGTGGAAGGTTCGCGGTCGAGAATGCTTAATTTTCCAAATATATGTAACCTTTTCCATCCATTTTCCAAATTTTTATAATGATTATTTGCTCGCCAATGTTACTGATTCATTTCTCTTGATATTTTGGTAAACGAAGGCGATTTCTCCCGCCTGGCGCCTACGCGTTTCTCACCTCGTCTGTTCATGTTCCTTTGAATACTGTTCTTAACCAGATATGATAAAAATAATGTAATAGGATTAGTAAAAGTTTGCTCTGCTCAAAAAGAGATTTTCAATAAAAGATCTAGGATCGAATGAAACACTAGGTAGGATAGAAGCGGATTTCCGGATGTATCTGACGCGTAGATTTGATTTTGGCAGGGGTTGAGGTAAACGCTTTTTAAACTAGCAAAAGTAGTGTCCAGGTCAGCGCGGTCCCATAGCTGACTGTGTGATATTAAAGAAGAGGCCATACCCAAGCATATGTCGTGTCTATTTTGTTCAAACTGTCGTGAACTAACCTCGAGGGTGGTACTCCCTTAAATTAGCTATTTACTAATAGGTTACTATGTGCCGTCCCAAAGGGTATGGTTTTTGCACCTTTATGAAGGTTTGAAGTCGGGTATAGACTTTACGCATTTTAGACTGGAATCGGGTGTGGTTTTCGAGGGAACTACGGGAGTGTATGAATGTATTTATCGTTTCAATTTCAAATGAGTGAGAAAGAAAGAGAAATATTCGAATTCGAAATGGGTTTTAAAAAAATATTTTTTGTTGCTGGAATTCCCAGCATTCCCGCGCGAAGAAACTAAAGACTGAATTTTTGAGGCCTTGCTGATAATCATACATACATACATACATAAACTTTATTAAAGTGTCAAGGTATTTAGCTAAAATTAAAGCTAATTGTGGACACTATAAATAAAAAAATGAATATAATATAATATTAAATCAAGTATACGTTTAAATATTAAAAATATATTCTTCAACTATCATTAATATATAGAAATAACATTAATTAATATATAAAATTATTACAGACAAACAGCAGGACAAGCAGGGGATAAACAAAGAGAAACAAATAGATAGACAAAAAACAAAACAGACAATCAGATAGACAGACAAACAAACAAACAATATAAGACAAACAAATAAGCAGCAGTCAAACATAAATACAAAATTCAGAAAGTTAAAAGTCTGGAAAATTTAAATTAGACGAATTAAATAGAGGATAGGAAAGCACACTCCCAATAAAACAGGCAGCCAGACAGCAGAAGCCACTACGCATACCCACCACTATAAGATGAGCATGCACAGCAGGCACACGTACCGTCCAGCAAGCCAAGCACATCGAGAGCACGCACCCCTCTCCTGAATGCCTGAAGACTGGTCTTACTGCGTAGTTCCTGGCTCATCTTGCCCCATATGTGTGGGCCTAAATATCTGATACTGTGCTTGCCATACTTAACAGTATGATATCTTGGAACAGGAAAATTACTTCGTAGGTTATAATGCTTATCAGTACTCTTTAAGACCAGTTGTCCGCTTGAAATTCCATTAGCCTCTGTGGCAGGCAAGAAAAGGGAAGGCAGAGAAAATGAAATGCATTTTCTCCTTCTTCTTTTGAATCCTTGCGAGGGTAGTTTGTCATAGTTCAGTAGCGGCCAAACGCCGTCATAATTGGAACAATCCGCACGTAGGCACTTTTATCAACTATATATCTAACTTTCTGGTACTTTGAAGTAAAAATATTGGGCAAACATTAGGGTACTGTTGAAAATAAGAATGATCAGAACGATAAATTTTTCACATCCGAAAAAGTTATGGATTTATAGGAACTGGAGGAAAATTGGTTTTCCTTCAATGCGAAGTATTGCAAAGTATGGCAGTGACAATTGTCGTCAATAAAAGCCTTTAAGAAGCCTCAAGAACAGATATTCTGTACAGTCGAAATCAGCACTTACTTCTTGACAAGCCACGGTTCCACATATCCTCTCGGAGTCATTTTTTTTGTCTGCATACTAGAACAGAAAAATTAAAAAACAATGATACAAATAAAATATGTAAAATGGAACCCAACAGTGAATATAACAGAGTCTAAAACCTCCTTTAAGTCAGTACGGATTCTCGGTACGACAAGATGAGTAACTCGTTCTTAGCTAACGGAAATATACTTTGACTACGAAGGAAAATTCTACTTTAAAGTATTTAAGACCTTTTTTGCAAATTGGTCAACCTTAACTAGGGCCAACACGAAACTCTATAATCGAATGCTAAATTCCCCGAGTAGTTAGAATTAGGCTCGATTTACGGACTTGTGTAAACGAGAATCTTGAAAAGCTTAATCCTCGTAAATGGAGCTAAATAACATTTTTCTAAATTTGAAAAGGTACATGTCGCACTTCATGACTGCCCCCCCCCCAACCCTCCCCCCCCCCCCCCCCAAAAAAAACAAAAAAAAAAATACTTACCACAATAAATAACGACAACTCTACTATTTTCTATTCTTTCTTACTTTATTCATAATAACTTAACATAAATTACCCACCTTCTTATCAAAAACATAATTAAATAATCTAAAGTAATGATTAACACAAAAAACTATACATAAAAGCAAAAATCCCCCAGAAAATAGAAAAAGGGCCACATTATGGGCATGTGTAAAAGAAAATATTAAAAAACTTTATACACCAAAAAAGGGGTAAAAAAAATTTTTTTAAATTTTAAAAAGTACATGTCCCCCCCTCTGACCGCCCCCCCCCCCCCCCCCCCCCCCCCCCCCCAAAAAAAAGAAAAGAAAACGTGGTCTTCCCCAAGTGTGGTCGGTCTATAATGTTATTGCGCTGATTTTCATTCGAATTACCATGCATCAGATAAGATGTCCCTTTAATCGCTGCAAATAATTAACTGGAAAGTTAGAAAGTTGTAAGTAAAAAGATTAAGAGAGAAGGGTCATTATAGTAAACAAAAAATAACACCATGGCATTCTCACTTATGCCACATAATAAACACGCACAATGCGTCAACCGTATTAAAATCATTATTACGAACGCTTTTATATATTTCGTTGGTTAAAAAAAAAGCAAACAAACAAAAATACTGCATTAAGTATTTGGTAAAACCGCCTTTTTTTCTTTCTCATTGATAATTATAAAGTGATCCTTCAACATACATGTAAATTTGAATTTAACTATGATTTTTGTGTCTGTTTAGCTTTGCCCCCTATATTCAGATCGGGAAAAATGGTTTTAATCCGGTATTTACGACTGCTTCTGCGACACTACGTCATACCATAGAATGGCATGGGCTTTAAGCAATGATGTTTGCCAGTAATCATGTTCAGTCAAGGACACTGAAGTGAGTGATCTATGACACAGGCAATATCACTTGGGCGATTATCGAAATTATCGCGTGCTTCGAACCAACTATCTAGGTTGGCTATTAACTATGTCGTACAGGCGGTTTCACTTACTAAACCCAAATATGAAAAATATTATTAAACAATAGTAATACTAATGTATGAGACATGTTACGTATCGTTTAAATCTAGGAAAACTAGCTTAATTTATCATAATTTCAGGTTCGATCCCGGCGGGAACTCAGATGTTTTGTTTGTTCCAGTGTAAGCTCAAGACATCACGATTACTATTGAGTACCGACTTCCACATTCACAAACGAGTTAAGAATTTGCCATCTTTTGCGCAGTTATTAGAACAATATCGCCGTTTCCTTTGACATCTATATGTATTATAATGAAAACTCGCAAGAATAATTGTCATTGCCTCGCTTACGACAATTAACAATTATTGGACGAGGTTGAGCAAAGTATCGTGATTTTTCTCTGGCCGAGCAGATCAATTATTTACCGAAGCCGAATGCTGAGGCAACTAATTGATCTGCGAGCCACTGACAGATCACGATATTTTGGGATAACCTAGTTCAATAATAGTTTTATCATTCGATCACCGGGTTTGTTTTTTTAATGAATATCCTTTGGGGAGCGAAGCGATCGGCCATTTTCACACAAGAGCGATCGGAAGAAGGAGAAAAGCACGGTTTCCTTACGCATGAGCAGAATATTATTTGCAGCCAGACACAGTTGGACGGCATTGCGCATGAGCAGACCATTATTTGTAGGCAGTTATTTGCAGGTCACGAGGTGGGCTCTCGGCCAATCTCGTGACAAAGAAAGAAAAATTTGCTTCGAATGATAATAGGTTTTATTGTTTATACCACAGTCTTGCTAGTAAGCTCCTCTTAATTCAAGGTTGAAATATCTGTCATAACCTGAGAAAGAGCTAGCAGTTGTTTTACTTTGCCAAAATAAAAACGTCTCAAAAGCTGCTCGAGAACAAAGGCAATCAGATTTCTGTCATTTGCTAGTAATGACTATGCATAAGTCAAATCTTGACGATAACTGTGCATTTTTTTTAAAATGCTGAAAATGACGTAATTATATAAAATACTTCTTTTTTTAAGAAAAAGATCGTTTCACTGTTAGGATAGTAAAGTTAAACCTTCTTGGTGCAACCTAATAATTTAACTGGGGCAGTTATGAGGTGGTCGCCACTTGAAATGAATGGCGAATCACACGATTTTAAGACTCTAATAAAAGATCGGCTTGGTATTCAGATTTCAGGTAAATAATATCACCATTATAGTCCGGCAAAATAACACATTGACCGTGACGGTCCATACTGAGACAAAAAAAAGGATGTTTGAACAGCATTTCTTCTTCGATTGACTCAGTATATTTACTAAAATAAATTAGGATCTTAGTGGAATATGAAATTTTACCTGTGAATATGAATCTATACTCGTTCACATACGGCCCTGAAATCTACGTAAATTGCACATAGCCAGGAAGCAATGACTTAAAATTGTAACGAAAAAATTGAGCATAAAACTTCAGTGCTCTTCAGTCTTGACTTTGCACACTAAGAACATAGATTCGTAAGAATTTCAAAGTAATAGCCTATTTCACACAAGGTAAATTAGTTTTATTAATCCTATTCTCTTATTTGCTTAGCATCTTACATAACATATATTGACTTACCACAGTGTAACAGTTGGCAACACATCGTGCTTTCGTAACAGTCTCCACTGATGGTACTTGTCCTTGAACTTGAAAGTTATTAAGCCAGTTTAGTGCAAACCAAACGTAAAACCATTTGACGAGAACTGAAATACTGGAAGTTGGAAACAGAACCATGCCTACAGCTCCCCCATAAACTTCAATCAAGCCATTTTTTAAAGTCTTAGTTCCAGTTGTTTGTACAAGTGACCCAAGTAAAAAGGTGATCATGTGCCAAAGGAACAGCACCTGAATAAAGAACAAACTAATTTGAAATTGGGCAATTGATCTAGTATTTTAATTGGTCCAATCGGTTATGTTATCGCTATTTTAGAAACATCTAATTAACACTGACTAGTAGAAGATTCATGACAAACATTCACGGTATCAAGGACAGTATTTCTATATATGTAATAGAAATTTGGCTGTAAGAGACATTTTTTGATTTCAATTATTTCCAAATTGGACAAGCATGTAGTTTCCTTTACTTATACATACTTAAACTATTGAAAACAAACATTTCATTTATTACCTCAGATTATTTTGGCTTACTTTGTCCGTTTGTATTTTTAATGTCAACATCTAAAACAAGTATCGGTGTTTTCTTAGTCTTGTCCAAAGTTTCAGTGCTTGTACATTTTCACTGAAGAATCTATGCGTTGATTGTTTCCAATACAAACCGTTTCATCAGTTTGGTCATACATTTTCCTTTTAAATGGCCCAGACAGGAAGCCAAAACAAAACAGCAGCAAAACAAACGACATTCACAGCAACAGCAACAACAAGCCAAGAGCGTTCGCCGACGAATCGCCATCAGCCAACGAAACTTTTTTTGACGCGTTGTCACAGGGACTTTGCGCTGATTGGCTAGATTGCATTACCTATTGTATTTTCTGGCATTTGATTGGCTCAGATCAGCTGTCCTATTTTTCTTAAATTGGACAGTTTGTCTATATTTGCAAAGGAAAGCCATATCTGAAACTACTCAAATAAATCCTTAATTCGACAATTCGTAAAAATTAAGGGATAGTAGCATTGCTGAAAATATCGGATTAACTAAAAGCTATAATTAACACTAAAATGGACAACATTAGACTAAATTACATTTCATGTGGCTCTGGTTTCTGATTTTACGTTTAGCTCGCTTGGCCAATTAACGGATGTTCCAAGACTCTGTTCTTCTACTTTAACAGACTTTTATTCTTCCTGCGGCTTCTACAGCTTCGTCTACTTCTACAATGCTTCTACTACTTGCGAACCCATCACCAACGAGTTAAGTTACAAAATTGTAGACGTGTCTGAGAACTTTTGTCCATTGTATATCCTGTCGCTTGACTAGGGGAGAATAGAACAGTCTGCACTGGTCTGCACTGTAGTAATTGGCAACTACCAAAGAACCAGTTTAATGCTAGCGGTAATAAAACTGCATGCTAAGACCAAGCATACAAAACAGGAAGTGGAGTGTAGGTAAAACCCAAGGTCAGCTTTTAAAAAGATTACTCGATCGTCGACGAAAAAAGGACATAAAAATTTATCAGCAAGCATTTTGAACTTGAAAGTAACGTCAAGAAGACACCGAAACGTCGTTCTTTCTTGCCCGCGTTGTTGTTTACTTGTTTTTGTATTTTTAAAAAAACTTTTAGCAAGAAAATCCTGTTTCGTGTGGGAAGCCTCGCTGTTGCAAGGCGAAGAGTTCGAGGGCGGTGAATTGAGGAATCGATGTTTTATGACAGATTCACTTTGTTGTATGTGTTTAACTGATAGATTCTCGCCGTTGCTTAGTTGTAAGCTAAGGTATCATTGCACTTTGTAAATACTTGAGATATCAATGACTTAACCTTGACTATTCGTCACGTATGTCACGGATTGTACTTGACTGTCTTGCACTCTGCTTGCAGAACTTCATCTCCAATGGAATCTACCAGTCTACAAATTGAATAGTCCATCTTTTTTAGTAGTTTTTGAGAAATGTGTTTTTATTTTTCACACTGACTTCTTCGTGTCTTCTAGGTGTCCTATATTCGCAAGGTCTAGCCTCTTTGCCTCATATTGCCTTTGGTTGTGGAAGATTCCTTGAAATTACAGTAGAATTACCTAGACATCATTGAATTTTTTCTCTTTAGATTTATAATCATTGCATTTTATAGATAGGTTATTGGTAGCTTAGTATTCTTTGTTGTCGACGGCTAGCTAAAAACAGAACACAAGAAAACGCAACAAAAGAAGAAGAATGGTGTCCACAGTGTGATGTTTCTATTCATTGCTAAAATAGATTTAACTTCATAAAAAAAAATCACGTTTAAGCAATCTCATAGTTTGTATTGGGGCTTACCCACATAATAATTAATGGTTGGTGAATGGGTGCAAGTTCAGTTACCCCACTGTAACATTATTCTTTTCCAGTTTTAAAACGGAAGGCAGGCGAAGTTTCTGACTATTCTCACTTAGGGAGCTTAAGCAACGACGACGCGGACGGCAACGAGAACGGCAAAAAAAGTAATAGTTTGATTAGCAAATTAACAACTTTGCAAGTGCATCACGCTTTTTTTGTACATTTCTTTGCCGTCGTTGCCCGACTACTAAGTGCCTGAATTCACGTTTTGTCGAGGACGGGAACACAAGACAACAACTTAGAAAAGAAAAGGACTTGAAACTATGTCAGGAAATCTTAAGTTGAGGTTTTTGTAAACGGTTGTAAACTGCTTCATTTGCAGATGGAATAAGCGCGATAAAGTTTGAAGCGGTGCGAATTCACTTTTTAAGGGACGTTTTTGTAGCGGTCGCCGTCGTTGTTGCTTAAGCTCCCTAATTGGCCCGTGACGCGGGAAATAATTAAATCCTTAAAATTCCGTGGTGTTGGGGCTGCGCGCTGGTGGCGTGATGCATTGCTGGCCTTGGCTAGAATTGCTTGGTTTTTGCCTCCCTCTTGGCCAGCTCAACGGAGTTCATTGGATGTGACTTCGAAGTTACGCCCCTGAAGACCTGAGCCGAGTTGTTCGAAAGACGGGTTAAATAAATCCTCGGGTTAGGAATAAGCAGAGGTTAAATTTCTTAACCGCTGGTTTGTTAACTTGGGTTTAAAATGGTGTTGTTCGAAGCGCGGTTAGAGGCGAAGTCCGAGGGAAGTGGAATAATCTTTAGTTCTTGTGCAACGTTATCGAGTTCACAAACTTTCGAAAAGAAACAAAAAGAACTGGAGGACGATTGACCTGCTTCCAAACCTGTAGCCAGCTCTTAGTTCTTTGTTTGTAAAAGTTTTAATTTTTATCGTTTGTCTGAACTAATTTGGTCAGCGGTTAGAGAGCAAGATAAACGCGTTTTTTGTTTAGCTTCGAAAACTCTTAATTTTTGCCTCTTTTCCTCTTTTTCATTTTTTTCGTTGTTTTCGTAAAATTATGGTTGTGTACAGTACACGTGAGTAGTTGGACAATATTTTGTTATCGAAGATTGAACCTATCGACAATTCGTTGAACTTTAATGGCGACGAGTTCAAGAAGTTACTTTAGTAGAGTGGAGGCGCTCGAGAAGACAGTGAAAGCTCTTCAACTAGAAAATCAAGCTCTGAAGTCTCAAATTAATTCTGGTAATAACAAGGTGAAAGAAAATTCAGTTCTTTTGGGGTGAGACTAATCTGAGGAACTGCTGACCGCGGAACTGCGGAACCTGTGGAACCGGCGGAGCCTACGGAACCTAAAGAAATGACTGTTTAATTAACAAATGCCTTTAGCCTCCCACTCAGGCGTTTTTAGGGGACCTTGTTTTTCATCCCTTCCCACAAACGCCTGCTCAACCGAAAACATTCATATTTTGGCATTATATCAAGAATGTCGACGAAGTTGACTCACTCTCAAAAAATTATTACATAGTGGAATGGAATTATTATAAATTGCGACAGCTTAATCTACTACAAAGTGCGACAAGTTTATTACAAATTGCGACAGGTATTACAAAGTGCGATCAATTTATTACAAATTTCGACGGGTATTACAAAGTGTGATGATTATCACAAATTGCGACAGTACACACGTATCCCTCTGGTTGTCGGATACCACCCAGCCATTCGCTCAATGTCATCTATTTTTAACAGGCACATTTACATTCTCTCATCCTCCCAACGTTGTGCTACTTTGTTCAAATGAATACCTCTCGTTACCTTCCTACGTATTGCTTGCTTATTTCGAGCGAACTCGAACTCCATTAACTAGCTTCATCCATTCCTTCCGGTTTTCCATGATGTTCTTCAGTTCAGCTATGCTCAAACCAGTATCATTTTGCAGCTGGTCTACGTATGTTAATGCTGGTCTTCCTCTCTTTCTTGCGCCGTGCTTTGGTTCCCAGAGTAGTAAATCACTTATCACCTCATCCTTTTTTCTCCAACAGTGTCCTATAAACCGCAGCCTCCTGATCATCAGTGTATCTGTAATCTTAGGAAGATTGCCGTACAGTTCTTTGTTGGTTTTATGCTCCTTCCAGGAAACTCCAAGAACTGCTCTGAGCATTCTTGTGTACGTACCATCTAGTCTATTCATCATCTTTCCAGTCATCGTCCAGCATTCAGCACCATAAAGCAGTACACTTTCAACTGTGGCCCGAAAGAAACCTATTTTGAGATGATTTTTTAGGTTTGATTTCCACACTTTCATCATTTTGTTGAGTGCACTCCAAGCGTGTCCAATTCTTATATTCATGTCCTTTTCACCGGATTGTATCCACGAACCAAGGTATTTGAAGTTATCTACTTGCTTCAATTTGTTCCCTGCCAGTGTGACAAGATCACCTACAGGTTGATTGTACAGCATGTATTCCGTTTTCTTGTAGTTAACATGCAGACCCACTGTTTTCGCAGCAACCTCCAGTCTTAATAAGAGAAGTTGTGCCTACGTATTAACATGCCGTAAATTCGCTAAGTGGACATTTCCTTCGGAACCATCGCTATCGATTAGTGTTATGGTGTTATCCAGTGTTCAAAGTCCTCTGTTTTTCCGCAAGATCGTCGAGAACGAGCACTACAGACGGCCATATTGACCGTGTCGAGCTTGAACAATAGTTAAAGGGCGGAGGGACGGTTTGGGAACTCCGAGGCC